TTTCCTCGACAATTTGCTACGATATGATCATCAGACGCGGCTGACAGCACAAGAAGCGATGGATCATCCTTATTTTTTCCCAGTAGTGAAAGTACAGCAGTCTGGGATAGCTGCGAATCCATCTCAAATAAAGCAAGAGGTCATAGGTGGAATATCTAACTCATCTACCATGCAAGGTAAACCTCATTCAGTGTCAAGTCAGTCTCACTCGCAGAGCAGCGTAGCACAACAGTGAAAATTGTATAAATGAACATTTTTTGGACATCACAGTATGAAGGTTTTGCTCAAATAGCAAGAACTCTAACGGATAATTGTGAGATTCTCGTTTGAATTTTTTGAACGATAAAAGCCGGTATGTTCTACTTGTATTGCCTTGGATTATTTGCTTATTTTTTGTCGACTTTGCAGTTCATTTTCGCTCATTTTGAAGCCTTATTCTTAAACATACATGAACCGTTCAAATGTGAATTGACTTGTCTACATGGTGTTTTTGTATGCTACGCTTATTTACACTTTTCGCTCTACACTAGGCACTATACAAACAAACACTGATATCTAATGAACTATTATTTTTGGACAGGACATTCTGGCCTTTTTATCCAATTTATTACACCCCTGGTGAGGGGATTACATTTGTTGCTGTTATTTACAATTACTTTGCAATTCAAAGTTTTAGATAGAAAAGTTTGCTACACGGGACAGAATCATTGTCAGTGTGACAAATTCTAGCTTGTAGTTTTTTTTGGGTGAATTACTTATTTCGGTACTCCTGGAGTATGTGTATCAAGATGTCGCACAACCTGAACCCTAACTGTGTACACAACCTGAGTTCAGGTTGTGCGCCATCTTGGTGCGCATACCTCAGGAGGCCCCTTTTTCCTGCTCAGGACAGGCAGTGCACAAATGACCTCTGATATTAATGAAGCTATAATATGTTTGTAGGTTCAGAATCTTCTCTTTTTTGGCTTTCTAGGCTAATTTAGTACACCCTAAGTCAGTGGTTCCTAAACTTTTTAATATCGTTACACCCAAATCGAATTACCAAAAGCTCAATAAATAAACAAATACAGTAGTCATATTGTTATGGATTTTTCCTAGATAAAAAATGGTGATATTACTAACAACTATTACATTTTCTGATCAGACTTTAAGATGCTAAAATTGCGCTACCTCGGATTTTAGCATACAATCTGTACAGCGAAGTATTGCTATCATCTTCCCATTAACCGTGGGACATATGACTAGGCTCATTGACTAGATGTGGGCATTGCATGTTCAGCTTTTCTGTCGAAATTACAGAGATTATTAAAAATGAAAAGTTTGGGAACCACTGCCGGCATAGGCAGTAGTGGGCATAAAGTTGCACATGGATTGTATTTAGCCCTTTATTTATCCCTGTAAGTTTCAACTTCACACTAGTTGAGGCATTTTCTTATTGATTTCTTGCTGAGAATAAACTTTTGAGGTTTTTTAAAAAGCTGTTGAGTGGCTTTTAAACGCTCTGTGGTGGTGTATTTGAAACAGGGTACAATAAAGTTTTTTTATGTCAATCAAAATGTATTCAAATGTTCAAGTGTATTGAAAATTAGTAAAATAAGTTTGATGGTTTCTACTTTCAAATTGAATTTGATTTGAAACATTGGACACTGGTAGTTTTAAGTACTTATTACCTACTTGTTTTTTCCAAAAAACGTGTTGATTAGTGCAAAGAAATTGGCCCAATATAACCAAATTTAAATCATCAAGTCTATACTTCCAAAAAACAAATACTGTAACTGGCTACCCAATCCAACCCAATCAAAATTATCTCGTCTCTGTTTTGTATAAATTTCTTGTCATTGCCAGTTTTGAATTTGAACACTATTGCAAACTTTGTGCCATGAACATTCGATAATCGGGTAAAATATAAGTTTAATACACTTTTTTTTAAAAGTACATTGCTATTGGAAACACCTTTTTAACAATGATTTGAAATATCGACATCAGTTTGACTTGAATTCTGACCTTGTATTGTCAGTATTTAGGTTGGATTTGGAGGGAAAGGAGTTTTGGTGAAATTCAATGTCTAGGCTGACTCCCAAAAAAATAATCCAGTCCATTTGGAGCATATTGCTAAAAGAACATAACTTTTGGGTTAAGCGTCCTAGAATACTAAAACTCCTAGGTACAATCATACACAAAAGTGGTAAATAAATGTTCTTTGGATACCAAAGTCAGCGAAACTTTCATTAAAACTTTTGTTTTTCCAGTCCTGGTTGTACCCTTCGTCTCTTTACCTATTATAACCAGGTTCTGTGACACTAAGTGAGTCAATGTAAGATTGGCTCAAGTATACAAAATTAAGGTGAAATCTTTGGGAAAGCTTAGCAGTATATAATGTGATTAAAAATGAATTGAATTTTTTTTCTTTTTTGTATACTTAATGTTCCAATTATTAATATTCTGTTTCAACATAGCTCTGCTCTCATTATGTTATAGGGAGATCATATTAGTAAAATTTAATCGACTACAACTCATATGGTTTAGAACAGTCTATTTAATTTATTTTGCCCTGCTAAGTCAGTGCTTTGCATTGAAAACTACAGGGTGTCCATTATTAAGTCCTTTTGTAATTTCAATTTTGTTATGAAGTCAGTACTGAATATATCTTATTCAGGTTTGTTGTTTTTTAATCAATAATTGTTCAAGCATTTTTACTTTGTACAATAATATAGCCGGTCAGTTACGATAGGTAAAAATATAGAGGGTGTCCATAGATCCTCTTTACAACTTTTTAATTTTGTTATGAAGTCAGTTCACAATGTATCTTAACTAGGTTTGTTGTTTTTCGACCATTATTTGTTCAAGTATTTTTACTTCATTTAGTCTGTGAGGGCTAAAGTCCAAAGCAATATATATGGTATCGCTAAATTCCCTTTGCAATTTAAAATTTTTTAGGACTTTATGGACGCTCTATATATTAAGTATGACTTGAACTTGAGTAATACTAATGCGCTAAGCATTAGGCTATCGTATCTAAAATGTCATTTCTCTTGTGTTATGTGTGATGTCATTTTTATTGTCTGACATTTACTGGTTATAATGAATTACACTTGCTATTGCAGGCAACAGTCTGTTTATTATACATTCGTTACTTATGTTGCTGTATTTTATTCTCCTAATTATGGTGATTGCATTTAAGTGAATAATCGTATGAGTAAATATGAATGTCGGTAACTTTATGTGTATCGTCTTTCTGGGGATTGATATGGCAAAATTTGTATTCGTATTTGAAGTTAATAAAAGTCTGTGTGAATCAATAATTTTGAATTACTCCAAAATACCTCCAAAAACATTGCTAATAAAGCTTCACTATTTTGACCCAACAGCTGAAAATTTTTAATCTTATTCAACTATTGTCTCTTACTGTAGCAAAGATGCAGGAAAGGTTATTTTTAAAATGTAGGATTAATGAAGACCCTTTCCCCCCAGGTTAGATCCCATGGGGATCCCCCCTCCCCCAAGTAAGTTTATTCATATGATCGAAAAAGTAGAAGTAATGGCCACAAAATTTTACCCTTATCCAACAGTCTCTCACGTGCGTCACGCAATGTTATTTTTGAAATTGAGGATCATATGATAATTCCCCCATTTAGGCATGATCATATCAATATCTTATCCCAGGTTAGATTATTGCCCCCCCCCCCCCCCCAAAAGGTTTTCTCATACGATCCAAAATGTATTTATTAGTTCTATGATCTGAGGTAATGGGCTGACTATGCTTTTGTGTCGGGTAAAGAGTAAAATCCTATCTCATCGGTTACTACTCCCCCGGGATAATAAATATGAGAATTATATCATGTTCAATATCTTTTCACATGTTACACTTACCGGTAATAATAATTGCATTGAATACAGTATGAATGTGATTGGATTGTAATTTACTTTATATAGGAAATCCACATCTTATTTGTTTAGTTAATTTTTATGACACTCATTCAGGCTTTTCCTCCCACACCTTGTGAAAAGCAGCCACTGAGAGCCACGAATATTTATTTATTGGATCGAAATCTTTCTAATATTCGATTTCATATTAATACCATCAATGGTTAATTCAATTGATACTTATCCATAGATAAGCCATTTTATGTATCTAATTTCCCAAACTAAAAATTGACTATTTGCTCAAAATGTTACTGCAAAAGATGGCCTATATTTTCCACATCTGCATTTCTAAGAAAAAAACATTTTTGATTCAGATAATGCTTACTTGTATTAATAGCATTTTCAAAATAAAATATATACTGTAGTTAGGATTTTTTAAATTCCCAAAATCACTTTTTGTTTGATTCAATTAAACTGAGTTATCCTTTGCTTTAGTCACGATCTAATTTTTCATGATTTGATAATTGTGTACTATCTTCTTATTTTCCCTCCACTATGTTAAGTTAGGTTAGTTTATTGCTCCACGTTCTCTGTTTCTCTTGAGAAAGCCGGGGAAATACCCTAACCCAGTGGTTGTTAAACTGTGGGCCGCCGAGCACGAGGTGTATCGCTACATTTGTTTGGTCAATTTGTGTACTGCCACGTGTACCGGTCATTTGCAGAAGTTTTAAATTGAATATCCCTACATTTACATGTTTACCCTACACATACCCTTCGTTTATTACATGGTTAAATTTGAAATTTTCAACGGAATTATTGAGCCTTGAAACATTTCCTATTTTTCTATATGGGCGCCATTTGAAAAACTTTGCCAACCACTGGCCTAACGTAACCTCAGATAAACAAAATAAAAAAAAAGAGCTAGGAAATTAGTAGAGGGGCAATACCAGGATACTACTCTGTACTGTTAATTGTATTTTGTGTAGGATATTTGAAGTCGAACTTGGCCAACTATGTGCTGTATATATAAATCTGTATTTATTTTCGACCCCCATAGTTGATCCGAGTCTAATTGATAGCAAAGTAATACCAAATGCATTTCATTAATGTATACTTTCTTTTTGCTGTTGTTATGTATATATTAAGCTTTAAGATTAAAAAAAATTGTGATATGATGTCACAAACATAATCATTCAGCTGTGACGGGATTACTTGCAATTTCATCAGAAGTTGGAACCTGCTAATATCATATCTAGATTACTCAAAAACTTTGAGGTTCAAGGTTTAAAGGTCGTAAATTCATTGACCCGTAACTGAATTACTCTAAATTCTGAGGAAGTTAAAAGTTTAAAGGTCACAAACTCGTCAATCCGTGACCGAAATGATGATTCCAGCAGTGATAAAAGTCTTCCTATCTGACGATCCAAACTCAGCTGTTGATGCTCCGATAACTCCTAACACAACTGCACTAGATGTCATACAATACTGTAGAGAGCCTGGTGAAACAGCTTGCCATCTGGCAGAGCTATGGAGGGGGAATGAAAGAGAAGTCAGTGAAGGTACGCAGTTGTTTTTATTTCTTACTGAAAAATAGGTTTATAATTATAAAGCAGTTTCAAATATGTATATCACAGAGATTAAACATTGTCATATTTTCAAACTCCCCAAAGTCTAAATTTAGAGTTTGAAGTCGGTGTTGAAATTTTTCTTGTCCAGAGTCGGGTTTTATTTACCGGGAGCCATCGTCACTTGTAAATTTTTGAGGGTTCTACAGCCCTGGCTTTGGTAACGGTGTTGTAAGCAATACAATAAAACATTGTTTGCTTGTAGTTACATACCGGGGAGATGAAATGCTCCACTTTCAAATCAATTATGTGATTAATCAATCATTAGAATGTAGCGTTCTTATATTCTTGCAGTCAATTTCAAATATTCTTCTTGAATTCAAAATAAATATTTATTCAGGTGAGAAACCATACACCATACTGCAACAATGGGGATCATATGCACCAGAAGTTCAGTTTTATCTCCGTCATGTTAGTGGGAGTGCTGGAAACATTATTGAACGACAGAATAGTTGGGCTGATGATCAAAATGTCATCCAATCTCTCGCGAATCGAACTGATCTGTCTCTGGCTGAGCTCAAGGTAGATATTGTTTTCTTGATTAGAAGTCTAGTGCAGTGGTTCCCAACCTTTGAACTGCGCAGTTTTGGTTAACATTATAAATTTTGGTCACTTTTCTTAGTTTTTTAATTAAATATAAATATTAATTTAGGAAATGGCTCAAAGACAACAAAAACAAATAGAGCAGCAGCAACAAATGCTTGTAGGAAAAGAACAGAGGCTAAGGTTTCTACGGCAACAGGCACAACAACAACAAGCAATGTTGGGCGAAAACGATCGACTGAAACGACTCAGAGAGAAAGCTGAAGCCCAAGAAGCTAAGTTAAAGAAAATTAGAGCAATGAGAGGAAAATTGGATCAAAGAAGGTAAAATACTGATGAATCTCATAATTGCGGGTTCCAATCTTGTGGAGGATATCCTATATGTTAGATCAACATTTCTCAAACTTTTTTCGCCCCCGAAACACCTACACTTTTAGCTCACCTCACAGAAAACCAAGAAATTAGGAAGCAAAAATGGTGGGTGTTTTCAAAATTAAAAAGGTTGCTGTTGACTTTGCGATTGAAAAATTAGGCCGGCGGTTAGCGATATTGAGCGAGGAACAAAAACACCATGCCTTCCAGACTTGAAAAGATCTGGTCGTTTGTTTAGATAGCAGAGCCTGTTCAATATTTGTTGGGTCCTTGGGTCGTTCGATTTTGCAAAATTTTTTCAAGAAATTTGGGTCGCTTGAAAACAAGTTTGGGAACCACTGCCATAATCAATTGTTTTATTGGCTTGTTTATATTTCTACAGATATGACAACACAACTCTTTCTGCTGAACTAGAAGCAGTGAGAGCGTTGTTTGAAGAAAAACAATCGGAATTATCAAAAGCCGTTTCTAAGGTTGACGATCTAACAAGACAACTTGACGATCTAAAGAATAGCAAACTGGGGTCAGGAGGTCAAGATAGTGGTCAACAGGTCAGAACGCTACTTGAGAGTTTTTTCTTTACATACATCTAAAAAAAATTTACTTTTGTAATATCAAAAAGTAAACCTAAGCTTTTTTTGGAAGGAATTAGTCGAGACCTGCACCCTACCTCAAAAATAACTAGCTTAATAAGCTACAAATAACAGATAGTAAAGCGAAAGTATGTTTTAATAAAAAACCACATTGAAAATACGTGTACATGATAAAGAAATGGAAATAATAAATAAATCCAATGATACAAAATAAGACGGGCAAGATCAAATCTAACAAATAAAGCTTCAAGATCCCTCAATAAATTTAAACATGATATTCGAAACTGATGAAAAGACTTTGGTTCTCTTCAGGCCTGGAATCTTTGAAAGAATGTGTAAAAATAATTCTATGAAAAACATGAATCGTAATATTTGTCACTTTCAGCTTATATTTGTTCAAATTCATTTTCAATCTTTGGGTTAGGGGGATTTGGTTTCTTTCGCACCCATTGGCGAAGCCATTGGCCATGAAGAATCTTAAATAAATTATTGAATTTGAAATCGAAAAAATCTACTACTTGCTTATAATTATCCAAATTTGGGTATTCTCGTAGAAGGTGTACCAGGTTAGGGTTTAGGCCATAAATTTATTCCGATTTTCCTTATTTTAGTTCTATTACGAGCTCGGCGACTGTCTGTGTTAGCCAAGTGAATCTGTTAGCCAAGTGAACCCCCTGCCCATAGGTTTCAGTCCTTTTACACAACTTGATGAAAAGTAGGCGAACAAAATTAGTTACCTCCATATTGGTACACACACTTCTGGAGCGTCATAATTTGTTTTAAATTTGAATTTCTAATTATAACTCACAGGTCACTAACACTGCAGTCGATGGAAATTACTCATCCACATCCGAGCTCGAAAAATTACGGAAGGAATTATCGATTCTAAATCATATGAATGAAGAACAACAAAAACAACTCAATGAAAAACGAAGCGTTTTGAAAAAACGGAACGAAGACGCTGGCGACTTAGATCGTAGAATTGAAGACCTTACTGACAGATTAAAAAAGAAACGTGCCGCTGCAGGTCTTCCCGACGACCAATGGTCTGGGGGCGATAAATACAAAGCGCAATCGTACAAAGTACCCCCAGGAAAAATGCACACGATTGTGGCCGCAGTCGAACCGGTAAAACAAAGCCCGCAAAATGTACAAGAGGATTATGACATGATGCATATGAAGCACAGGCAAGGGAGTTACCAGGGATATGGTCAGGAACAAGTTAACAACAACAATAGTCAAGGAATGTTACAACAAGCTGGCCAACCCTATCGTGGTCAAATTGATAATTCGAACAGGCAAACGCCCCCTTATATGCCAAGACAAAACACGTATGGCGCTCCTAGTGGAAATAAACTTCCCCAAAAACAGCAGTTAACAAAATCGAATAGCAGCGATAACTTGCAAGGACAGGGTGATGGTTTTGCAGCTAACCGTGCGATGTTCGAAAAAGCCCAACCGGGCAACAAACCACCCCCTATTTCTGCTGGAAATCGGGCCCAGTCTGCGATGGCACAGCTATTCCCAACTCCACCTCCTAAAGCTGAATCTCTCACTGCCAAAGTGAGACCAATGTTCGCAAAAGGAGCCCAGCAACAGCAAGGCTATGGATCCCCTACCGCAACAAACGCAGCTTCTAGCCCTGGAATAAATCTCTTCGCTTATTCTCAACCACCTGCCGTCACAACCCCTTCGTTTCTGCCTTCGAATGTTACCGTACTTCCGAGTGGAAATATCCGATACACCCAACCCCCTGCTGGTCACCCTCCACCCCCATACCCAAGCGGTTCTCGTGCTGTTTATGGGGACTCTAACTCCCCTGAACGACATGTACCAATTGATATAGAAGCACTTCGAAGAAAATTTGCACACGCACCTCGCCCGCTTAAAAAGAGAAGCTCAATTACGGAGCCAGAGCGACCTCAAGGGCCTGCGATCCCAAAATTCATTTATGAGCAAATTTATAAACAAGCTGACACGCCCTTTTACCGCCCAAGTGGAGATGACACGCCTGCTGTTCCTGTACCTCCCATACCAGACACCCCACCACCAGCATATGTGGCACCTGCGAAGCCTCCACTTCCACCCATACCTGGTCCAGAGCAGCAACTACCAGATGCAATTAGTTATGAGCATAACGTGTCTCCTGCGGCGTATCGCAAACAGCAACAAAATTTACGTAAAATAGCGGCGGCAGTCAATCAAATGAAATCAGGGCAAGAAATCAGTCAAATCCCCACCCCTGAAGTACAAGAAGACCAATCACGTGTCAGAGATGATTATGATGACCACTCCCCACAACATTCAAATGACTTTGAAACTAGTTCAGATATATCTTCTTCCACCCTTCCATCAATAGTCGTACCACAACTTCCTTACGCCCCCGTCCCGACGAAAAGCAATCTCAAAACGAGAGCGAGCATTCCGAAAGGTCTACGGATCCGTTTCGACCCTCTTGCTCTTCTGCTCGATGCCTCTCTTGAAGGGGAATTTGATTTAGTTCAGGATATTATCGACCAGGTTCCAGACCCTAGTGGGGCCAATGATGAAGGGATTACTGCTCTACACAACGCTGTTTGCGCTGGACATACGGACCTTGTTCGCTTCCTTGTACATTATGGGTGAGTTGAGTTTACATTTTAATTTTGTGAAGTATTCGGTTTATTGATTTCACATAGAAAGATTTCACATAGAAAGTGAGTTACATAGAAAGGTGTCATATACAAAGATTTTAAATAGAAAGTTTTTCACATGGAAAGATTTCACATACAAAGACTTCAAATAAAAATATTTCGCATAGAAAGATTTCACATGGAATGCAGTAATAAGACAAAACGATTTGAATATTTGAAATTAGTAATATCAGTAGCGGGCCAAATGGCCTGTTGTGGTGTTTATTAAAGGCGGATCTCATTCTTTCTATGTGGCCACGAGCCAATCATATGTGGTTACGTGTTTACCTGTATTCAATTTCTCAGTTGATAATGTTATCAAATATTCAGTACCTATGTACAATAACCAGACATGTTTCTATTTTCGGTATCATGTCTCGAGGCAAAACACAAAGTTAATTGAAAGGTATTACGAGGGTCATATTGCCAGTTCTTTGAAAAGTTAATCATGTTATTGGTTGGTTATTGAGTTTCTGAAACTGATAAACATCTTTGTAACTCGAGATTAAAAAATGAACTGGGTTGAATTTTAAATATATTCTTGGGTACCACTGTAGAATGTGAACCAGGTTAGAATTAGGCCATAATTTTATTTCGATTTTCCTTATTTTAGTTCTATTACGAGTTCGGAACCACCATATTGGTTGACATACTTTTGAAGCGCCCATTCTTGTGTATAACAGAGATCGCCAAATCCAAATAAACTATTATTCCAAACAGGGTGACCAAAAAACTCGGAACCCATAAATTAAAATTAATTTAATAACATTTTTGTTTATATATGATTGCACCCAGAAAATCCCAGGTAGACAAAGATTTTACATATATTATGCACAATAACCAGACATGTTGCTATTTTCGTTTTCGTGTCTCGGGGATGCCTTGGTATAATGTCATGGTTATTGAGTTTCTGAACTGATAAACATGAAACAAGTTCTATAAATATCTTTGAATGTAACTAGAGAACAAGAAACAATATGGATTGTATTTTTCATATATTTTTATGATGTATGTAATAATGAAATATACCTACTGTTGTCCATGCCTATGAGCTGAAATTTTAATTGCCAAGTTGAACCAGGTTTAGTCAGACGCCTAAAAACGTGGTTTTCAAGTGTCTTGGGGGATTAAAAAGTTATTCAAGCAATAAAAATTTTTATGCATGATACAGAAAAATGCTTTTTTTACATTTTGGAATGGTGGTTTTGACACGCTAAACCACTCCCTTTGGTACACACAAATGAGCATTCTGTACTTTTGAGTTAGTGCGAATGACCTACATTATGCAACTTATTTTAAAATTAAAATAAAATAAATGTTCATTGTAACAAAAAGTATTACATTCAAATAGAAATGTCATTAACAACAATATGTCAAATGATATCAATATCTAAATAATGACTCTCATTTTGACACACTGAATGGCAGACAGGCAGACAACAATGAACAATAGTCATATATTTTTTTTAATATGGGTGGGGGTTCAAAGGTGAACAAAAGATTTGGAATGAGTTCGTAGTAAGACTATTGAACCACTTAATAGATATAGTAAATGACCAACAACACATCAATAACTTGTTATAATGTTTTATTGCTCTTTCTGACAATCAATAATAATGATTGAAAGTTGTACTTTGTTTTATGACCGAAACAAATAGGTCAATAACAATAAACATGAGAGCAATGTTCAATTTATTGACATGAAGGTTAAATGATAAATAATAATATAGGGTGTCCATAAAGTCTTGAAAATATTTAAAATTGCAAATGAGATTTATTGCTACCATATATTGTTTTGGTCCTCACAGATGTATCAAATGAAGTGAAAATACTTAAACAATTACTGATTAAAACAAACCGGGTTAAGATATATTCAGAACTGACTTCATAACAAAATTGAAATTGTGAAGGGATATTATGGACACCCTTTATGTCAATGTCAGCAAAAAACAGGAAAATGTAAAGGAGTATCGAATGCCATAAAGAAATGCACCGAATGTCGTATAAAAGTGTGCCAGTAAATTATAAAATCCAACAGAATTTGGGTGGGAATATCAGATTTCGTAGGATAGTAAATTTGAAAAAAAAATACTGAAAATTTAAGATCGAATGAAAATGAAAAACAATGGAAACACCAAAAATATTCAGCGAAATGATCCACATAATATAGATAGAATTATAATATTTCACAGAACTCAAGGATATTTGGGTTATGTTGTCTATTGAAATGATTTGCTAACATTATTGTTGACCACATATTTTGGTCTACTTTCAAGAAAATTAACTTGAATGTCCATTCCCCCCTGAAAAATCAGATAAAAGCAAGTATGAATGCACTATGTTAAGTTCAATATACATAAAATGATTGCAAACAGATCATTTTGAACTAATGGCAAGTGAAATTTGCACTGATGATCACTGGTCAGAAACTTCCAATGCAAGATCACAATTTAGAAGACTCACATCTACTGCCCATTCTTTATCAAGTTTACCAATCGTTTGACTATACTGAATGTGTCGAATAATATAACCAAGTACACATTAAACTTAGCATCATTGTACACAAATTTAATTTGAAAACCAGAAAATGAACTATTTTGCGATTAGAAATAAACCACAAGAAATTAAATACGCTGTGTACGTACGCCATCCTTTGAAATTAATTCAACCGAATCAGTAAAAACAATTCAATTTTGGGCGCTCCAGAAATATTGAGGTACCGTAACTAATTTTGTTCGCCTACTTTACATCAAGTTGTGTAAAGGGACTGAAACCTATGGGCAGGGGGTATATTCACTTGGCTAACAGAGACAGTTCTCGATCTAGTTTCTAATTTCTCCCTTTTTTGGATGTTTTTAAAAATACATACTCAATTTCATTTTAATAAGAATAATAAAATCATTTATATATTTACTATTTTTGCCTTGTATATTGGATAACTCCAATATATTTAAGGAGTTTGTCGTCTTTTTCCAATTTCCGTTCATTTCTATTTTTATATGTATAGTTAATAACACTAATATATTTAGGAAGGGAGGTCATATACCTACCTAAATTACTTTTGTATGACTGCCCTATGTAAATTAACAAATTTTTTTGAGTGATGACATTCTAGACCAGGGGTCACGACCCCAAATTGGGTCGAAGTGATATATAGGTAGGGTCGCGAAGAGGTCATGGGGTCGGTGGGGTTGCTGAGGTATTGTAAAGGATGGATGTACGAAACATCTAAAATTAGGACAAACCATGTTAAATTTAGCAGTTTGTACCATGGCTTACTGTAAAACAGGCCCATAGCCGTCACTCTATGCTTATGCTATTGAAAATGTGTGTGCTTCTTGTGACATCACTGTTTGGTTTTAGCTTATTTTATTTAAAACCACCACATGTTCAAACTCCAAGGCCCAGTGAAAGAAGCTCTAAAGTTTCATGAAAAATATACCGGGATCGCACTGGACACTTGAAAGTTGTCTTTGGGGTCGTCCTGAAAAAAGCTTGGGAACCCCTGGTCTAGACTATTACATTATCAATAATTTCCATATTTAATGTAGATAATTTTCACTACATTTGAATATGACCTTTATTTACAGTATTTGTCATTTGTATTGTACATATCTATTTCAGATGCTTCCTTTAATTTAGAATTTCTTTTAAATGATGAGTTTACATTATAAATAAATCTCCCTTCCTGTAAGTGGTTAGATTTCAACGTCAGATCAACCATTACAAAATTTTAATTTGTCGATGTCTCGACAGGACGGCCATAATTGTATGTTTTGAAAAACCTTCTCTTCCTTACGGCTATAAAGAAAGTGTTGTTTTTACAAGCCATGTCCTGTTTCAGGACTTTCGAATAATTGAGCTTGAAAAATTGAAATTGAAAGAAATTGGAAAAAATGTGCTGTATGGATTCAAGATAATTTGAATTATTGTTTTTGAATAACATTTTGGTTTGGAAAATATATTATAAACAATGGCGACATAGATTGTTGCATACTTTTTTTTGTCTGATAGCCATTTCCACAAAACCTTGGCAATAAATTTTTTTTTAATTCTGGAAAATGAGAATTTACTGTATCAAATATACATAATTTGAAATGTATTTGAATGTTCTATTCTTTTTGACATTTTGGACCACAACCACCATACATGCCAAACAAATGATATAAAGTTACAATTTTTAGCATTTGAGATCTGATGGTCAGATAAAAAAATCCATTTTGAGGAACGTTCGTAGTAGAATATTAGAATATTCGATTTTGGTGCATAATCTTTCCCTGCAGATAGCTTTTTGCCTATTAAAATTCCACGCTGATAAATAGGAAGCTTTTTGTTATGCTTTCTATGCGAAATCTTTCCATCTGAAATATTTCTATGTGAAATCTTTCTGTGGAATTTTTAATGTGAAAAAATTTTTATGTGGAAAATTTTCTATGTGACATCTTTTTTATGTGAAATCAATCACTGTGAAATCCACCTACGGTAATACTTTACGATGAAAATCTCTCATGGCATCTAAACCATAATACAATAAGATTAAAAGCTTACTAACATGGAATTGTCAATAAGCTGGATTATTACATATTAAAAGCTATGGGAAGCTCTTCAAGTGTAAAGTGCTTTAGAAAGTCAATGATATTTGGTTTGGGTTTATGGGAATTAGAGAGGATATGCGGCTTGGGTTATGTTGCATAGGAGTGGCAGAATATAGGAAATAGAGGTGTCCTATCATAAAAATACTCTCTTTGTTATACAATTCCCTTCCTTTTCTTATGATGGATAATGAAAAGCATGTATTTTGAAATTTCTATATTTTTAGAGATTTTTCAACCATTACTTCATCATTTTGAAATCTGCAATTTTTTGTGAGATGTTTCAACTCTTGGTTAACCCGGGAGTTTTGTGGGTCGGCGGCTGCCACTATTATTAAACTTGCTGCACTGAGGGCAATTTTGATTTGTCAATATTAGGTTTGCTTATAGATATATTTACTATGTAATACAATACGGACGAAAAAAGACAATTAATTAAACTATTGTAAAGAGGAATTTCTGGAATGTATTATTCCGCTACACCAAAAAGATTGCAGACCTTTACAGAAAAATTTACTTATTATTTTCAGGAGTGACATAAATGCAGCTGATACTGATGGCTGGACGCCTCTGCATTGCGCTGCCTCTTGTAACAACTTGAGTATGGCAAAGTTCCTCGTAGAAAATGGGGCTTGTATCTTCGCAACTACGATAAGCGATGGTGAAACCGCAGCTGATAAATGTGAAGAATTAGATGAAGGATATCTGCCATGCTTTGATTATTTATCAGGAATACAGGTTAGTCTTAAATTTCCTGTCTGGGATGAATTCTTGAGGAAGGATTTTGCTTCAAACTTGCTGTAGTATTACTACCGTAATATTCTTTTTTAGGGAGAACTGATTGTTATTATCATTATAATACATATTTATCCACACATCATTAACTACTTGAACTGTGCGAAAGCCGTAGTGTATGTTAACAATAGCAACCATTAATAAAGGTTGAACAAGCAAAGTAATTTTTATAGTGAGGAGGGTATAAAAGTTCCAAAGTAAATGAAGGAAGGAATTATGGAAAGGGTTGAGAACCACTGGGTTTGTTGATGCCATACAGCGTGGATGGCAATTTTTTTAATGAGCGGGTCAAAAATTATATTTTCTTTGTATAAGGGAGATTGTGGGTCATAAGTAAATTGAAATTAAGTATGAACACACAGATTAGAATGTATACGAATTACTGAAAAGCTTTTGTAATGCTTCTTCAAATCATTTCATTTTTTCAAAATTGTTTGTAAGGGAGTTACATTAGAAAGGTTTCACATACAACGATTTCACATACAATGGTTTCACATACGAATATTTCACATCCAAAACTTCACATAGAAAGCAGTAATAGGAGCACACGAATGGAATATTTGAAATTAGTAATATCAGTAGCGGGCCAAATGGCCTGGTGTGGTGTTTATTAAACACGGGAGGCATAAGTTTTTTTTTTTCAAACTGGGAACATTTTGAATGATTTAATCCGCGGGTGTGCAACGCTTTTTGTTGGCGGGCCATATATCTAACTCCAGACATCTGACTGGGCCAAAATTTAGCGAGAAAGGCAAGAGAGGAAAATGCAGCTATCGCTTAGCCTCACAGTAATAAATTCCCTAGGCAAACGCAGCGACAATAGAAATTTTTTTTATGCATTTTTCCATGTGAGCGCCTTTTCAAACGTAAACTGTCTGATTCGATTTTTATGCTTGATGGAGAAAAATCTGAGTGTTGACAAGGGACAGATTAAATAGCTTGGCAGGCCGGGTTATGGACTGTAGGCTGCTTGTTGCAGACCCCTGATTTCAACCATTGTCTGACTTATTCAGTAATAGCAAGATACAACTTAACACAATCATATATAGCTACTGCATTGGATTTCTGTAACATTCTATCCTTCTACTATGAAGGTCACAAAGTCGAAACAATGCTTATGAAAAGCCTAAGTAGCTTTAAAACACTTGAGACCTACTTCAAAATATCTCAAAACCATAAAATATATATTATATACAATCAAGTATGATCAGTTAAAAAAGACACAATATATGTACCGCTTATACATAGTCAAGTAAGTACTGTGGCTCATTTATATATATAGTAACACACAGTCGCAGAGTATTCGTAAGGACCTAACATTTCAAAGAATTCACCCGTGTATAGTTTGTTAGTTTGTGTATCAAATGAACACAGGTTGAAATACTGCAAACCTGGTTAATAATAATATCAATATTAATAAATATAATAGTAATTATTAACCCTATTTATATGTTATTAATAATCAGAAATGAGAAATTGTCATCTTAGAAATTGTAACAGGACTTATTAACACTATACATTATTAGTTGCTGAGGTAAAGGCAAAGCTTGTTATTTCAAATACAAAGTTTATTTTTGAATCTTGGCCTCTTTGTAAACCTTTTGTGTTTGCCGGTATTAATGGTTTGTTTAACCACCTGCTAATAGGTGTATATATACTTGGGCATGAGTCCAGTCCTTCCAAACACACAATAGCTCTTCGTGTATCCGTGGCCGCTCGTTCAGAGTTTTCAAAATGATAATTTCCATATGAAACTATCGTTTATTTTATGATCGCTTTTCTCATTCATCAATGGACCAATTGCCTTAAAATTTTCAGTGGTTAAAGATTGTCTTTTTCTTAAACAGACCTATATTTTTTATTTATTTTAGAAATTTCTGTGGGCTTTGTAGGACTTCTTTTCTGTGTGCAATGTAATCAAAAATTGTGCACCTTGTGGTAGTTCCGCTTTCTCGTTAATCATGAAGACTGCAGTACCGTTAGTCTACTGTGACAGTTGCACACCCGTACTACTCCGTTTTGGCCTTTATGTCCATATATTGAGCATCGCTCTCTAGTTTCAATAAAAATTTGGTTTTGGTAATCCTTGTATGTAACAGTTAGTATCCAAATGGAAATTGTGCCCTGACATACCGTTTGTTGTTCATATATTTCAGGTATTTATTTACATATTGCTTGATATGTATCGGCATGTCCGGTCATCATGCATAATCATAATATACCTAAGTCATAACATGATCCAAATAGATTTGTGAGTTCACATGCTATTATTCATTTACTTGAGTTATTTAAATTTGCATATTGTTTAATAGGGGCTCCCGAAGTATGCGAACCAAGATGGCGGACATCGGAATGTAATATGTGTACTAGGTTAGGGTTAGGCCATAATTTTAGGTATAAATACTACGGGAAGCTCTTGGCTAGTCTTCGAACTGATAATAGGAATAAAATAAGGTAAATTGGAAAAAAATTATCGCCTAACCCTAACCTGTTACCCATGTTTCGTTCCGATGTCCGCCATCTTGGTTCGCATACTTCGGGAGCACAGTTTAATATATCAATCGTGCTGCATGAGTCATAAAATGAGTCATAAAATAGGTTTGTACGTTAACATGTGGTTGTTCATTTACTTCAGTGAACTATTTACATCAGTGGCTCCCCAACCGTGGGCCAGTGGCCCTCCAAGAGGGCCACAGAGCATTTGAAGGGGACCACAATGCTAGGTGCCGAACTTTTTTACTTTTCTATTCACAAAAAACTTCTCGTTCTTCCCAGTTTCGTTGCTTGATAAGGTTATTTCACTTGGTGTTTTCAATTTTTTGAGAATGAATTGTTTGAACCTAAAGGCATTCAGAATCTACCAATAAAAATAACACTATAAATACCACCCCAATGATAAACAGAGGGGCCATGAGTACTAAAAGCCTCCGGATAGGGACCACGAGCCATAAAAGGTTGGGCAACATTGATTTACATATTGTTTGATATATCGGTTCGTCTAGTTTTGCTGTATAATCATAATATAAGTAATAACGTGTTCCAAATAGATTCAAGTTCACATGCTGGGGTGGTCAGAGTCCTATTGTGAATAATCATTTTGATTTTAAAAACCAGAGAAATTGCATAGGAATACTGAAACAAGTTGGTTTAACAGTCGTCTTTCTTTAAGTACCGTAAAGACAGCATGTACTTGAAATACCCTGCTTTTCATGACATGATATCATAAAAAAATTTGTAATTTGAATTTTCCTTTTTTTACTTTGTTTCCAAATTTTATTAAAATGCAGTGTACAGCAGCGTTTACTCTAAGCAATTAATGAGTGCGGAAGTGCTTCGCAGGCGAAAAAAAACGAAAGTGTTCTGGCTGATTTTTACAAGTTAGGTGCCCTAGCTTTCGTTTTAACTCATTTCAAACAGCATAGATACTCGAAAAAGCGCCCATTTCGTTAAGATTACGAATAAAAGAGTCTGTGTGTCGTGTGTGTGTTAGCTTTGTGGTATTTGTGGTTTAGTAATTGAGTAAAAGATTTCTTTCGACTCCATAATCAGCATGAAGGCGATACATGATTGATGAAAACAATTATGAAGCATATTGTAGAATTCCAAGAAAGAGAATAAAAGCTATATTTAACTTTATAGCACGCAAGCACAATTTCTGTGCGCAAATGCAAAATCAAATAAAATGAGTTTGAAAATAGAATTTTTAAATATAGATAATTTGACCTGTCTTAGCTTTTCTGTCATTATGCAGTTTCGTTTGCTGTATTTATCTAATATTGATCCATTGTTCGAGTTCCTTTCTGTTGGTTCAAGTAGGATCGTCCTTACTAAGATAACAGAAACTGTGTTTTTGTATGCATTGCGCTTTTGAGGCAGGAAGCCAAACTGAAAGATTTTATTCAAATATTTAAATTTGATATGCTTGTACTTATGGCGTAAATCCAAACTTGAAAATTTTTACAAATAAATAAATTTGGTAATCGTAATTAGTAAGCCAATCATAAAAATATTATACAAATAATTAAATTTGATATGCATAATTGGTAGTCAATGTTGAATAATGTTCTGTCGTTGATTGGATACATTCTAATATTTTTGAATATAGGTTGTACAGTTGGGTCATGTTGAATAAGACAATGTGTGGCATTATGCTTTTAAAGCAGAGAGGTTAAAACTGATGAGACATTTTAAAAAGGGCTCAATAACTTAATGTAGACCAAACCAATATTCCCCAAACTTCCTGAACCTTAGCTATTGATTGTGCAGTAGCAGATTTTTAAACGAAATATTCTAAAATTTTTGAAATCAAGAATTCACTATATCGAATATACCTGCTATTTCATGTACATGGATCCTATTCATTCTATAATTAAGGATTTATTTAACAAAAAGTAACTAATTTCAAAAGTATTCGAATATTTGATTCATTTTTGAATCGCTGATGTAGGCTACATATTCAAAGTACAAGGGACCCCCAAGAAACAGATGCCATAAATTTTTTTTCTTTCTTATTTTCAATATGTGCCAAATGACCTGGGTTTCATTTTAAACTTATGTTTGTGAATGATTGCACCTAAAATGTTCAATCTAATATGGTTCAAATGGCCCAGGTTCTATTTTAAACTTCTGTTTATGTATGATTATACCAAAAGTTTCAATCTAGGACGCTCTGCACCAAAGTTTTATTCTCTCAGTAATATGTTCAAATTGAGTTCTGTTTTTTTTGTCATACTGTGGGTAGATATAGGAATCCTAAGGCCCGTTTTCTATTATTATAAGAACATTATTATGCCCACATTATATTCCTGACAATGGCTCAGGTGCTTGGTCTTCTGTGCGTGTATGGTTGTACCCAAAGTTTCAGAATTCTAGGACGCTTTTCACAAAAGTTATGTTTTCTCTAGAATATGTTCCAAATGGCTCGGGTTCTATTTTTTGTCACCTTGTGGGTAGATATAGGGATCATAAGCCAGCTTTCCTATTGTTAAAAAACACATTGGCCGAGATTAAAACGCCCACTTTATATTTCTGACAATGGCTCAATTGCCTGAATGAGTCCACCATACTGTTGAGAAAATGACAACTATTTTTGATTTTTTAAATCCTTCCTATTGACATAATTTGGTGAATATGGCTTCGGTTAAAAAATAGCTTAAAAGCATATATATTTTATCACAATTTTCTCAAATTCAAACGCCCACTTTAAATTTCTGACAATGGTCCAGATGCCTGAATGAGTCACCTCCATATGATCGCAGACATAGGATTGTACTATTTACTCAATGGGTTTGAGAGGTTTAAATACTCTCGTTAGCGACCTATTTATAGAGTTTCAAGTTTTGCTGTTCCGGTTGACCAGTTCTCCCCAATTTTCAGTTGATGTCGTTTTGTACTACGTCAGTGTAATTTGTTACTATTTTGGGTGGGGACATGAATATGTAAAAATTAACATGGATTGATGTCTCACAATATGTTAGCGACCTATTTATAAAGTTTCGCTGTTTCAGTTGAGCGGTTCTCCCTAAATATAGGTTCACGTCATTTTGTGCTACCCAATTTAATAATGATTTGTTACTCTTTTGTGATGAGTAGAAAGAACGTGGTCAGGTAAAATGTCATATGAGGACTCCAAACCAAATGGCAGAGCTTTGTAAAACTGTTTTAAGAAAATGGAAAACATATATTTTTGATTTTCAAACTTTTTTTATTGAAGTAATTAAGTGAATATAGGCTTGGGTTAAAAACATTTTAAAAGCATATAAATACTGGGTGTCCATAAAGTCTTAAAATTTTTTAAAGCGAATTTATCGATACCGTAATACATTGTGAAGGGACTTTATAGACAACCTGTATTTCATCACAATTTTTTCAAAATTTCATCATTTGCCAAGTGTTCCCATTATTAACCACATGAAAGCAATTCCAATATATCATATTTTTCAGGAAAAGTTTGGAATTGTGAACAAAGGACAAGTGTTTGCTTTGTATGATTACGAGGGAGAAGCAGAAGATGAACTTTCTTATAAAGATGGAGATATCATGACTATCATACGACGAGGAGATGACAGGTAGAGATTGTTTATTTTTTTTCTATTTGTTGAGACCAGAAATGGCCAAAACTGAATAATTATCGTATGTATTTCAAAAACATTATAAACCAGTGGTCTCAAAATGGCCCACGGTATCGATATAAAATGGCCCGCCGAGCTTAAGTGAAATAGTTTAACATTTTGTTTTTACCTATCCTGATTATATGTACCGGCATTGGCCTCCTGCAGGCGCTCCCCATCTCTCGGCCCGTGAATCAACAGTAAAATCGGGCCCAAATTTCCAGCCCGACCCGGGCAGCCCCGCGGGTATTAAACTCGATTAGATTTGCAGGCCTGACCCGACCCGGGTATGGTAAAGTATAGAAAGAATATTTTCGGGGAATGTCGGGAAAAGGTCTATTACAGTTTATCTGTTTTATTCAAATTATTACATTTATAACAAGTATTCGTTTGTTTAGTATTCACACGTAGTTTGAGTATATATTTTTTTATAAACATATATTTATTTCAAAAAAAGTTACCGATAGAGAAGCCTGCCCCCAATGTAATGATTGACATTTCAGAGTCGACCCGAAATGTCGGGTCGGGCTTCAGATCTTCAGATCACTGTTCTGAATTAATATTTTTGAGTATAGAAAATAGGCTATTTTTTTCTCAAAACAAGGACTTCACTCAGAAATTGGACTTCACTCAGAAATTCATCTTTGAGCGAAGTTATGGGTGACCACCAAAGAGCCAAGAGTTACTTGAACTATATCGACTTATAGTGAAGTATCGCACATTAGTAACTACCGATTTATTTGAGGATATAGGCGTGTGTCATGTCATAACGATCAAGGAAACAGCTATTAGGTAACGTTTTCCATATAAGTAAGTTTTTGGGAAAATTTTGTTTGCCTACTTTACATCAAGTTTTGTAAAGGGACGGAAACCTATGGGCAGGGGGGATATTCACTTGGCTAACACAGACAGTCTCCGAACTCGTAATAGAACTAAAATAAGGATAATCGGAATAAAATTATGGCCCAACCCTAACCTAGTACACACACTATGAGAGTTCCTGATATTGAACAGACCACCTGATCATTTTGGACTCATAGTGTTATTAGCCCATAAACAACTGAATCTAGATTCTGTCAGAAACTATTCATAATTACTATATTGTATAAGCATCAGGTATATTTACTTTCCCTCCAACCGGAATCACGTAGGCAAATATATATGGCTTCTATCTGTAATCTGTTGGTAAACATTACAGGGTTTGTAGTCATCACTAAGGAGAAATGCACATAACACCCTTTTGCGAAACAGACGTGATGATGGCATAGTTATCTTAGTGCATGGGTGGTCAAATTACGTCCCACCTTGGTGTTTCATTCGCCCCACTTTTGCCTGAAATTCTGACTGTACTTTTAATGGATATAAATTTTTGTTGAAAATATCGTAATAATGACTTCGATAGTTACATTGTGCTTCTTATCATAATATGAACGTCTGCCTAGCTGTTGGAAATAAACTGTTTTTTATTCATAATTTTTCATATTGAATTTGGAGCCTTTGACCCATTAACCAGGTCTATTTTTTGTAATTGTTTTTCTTATTTATCTTAGACTCTTGAAAACCCTCGTTTTCTGGCCTTTGCTACATTTACAGTCTTAACTTTGCAATCAGAACCCTTCCTTTGGACATTCCTCCGACTGACATCCCTGCCAAAACGCTGAACCTAGCAATAAAGCACTTAGTTTGTCCGCGTTTGTAGATCAGCGGCTCTCAAGGGGGCCACAGCCCACAGTGCAGTTGGGGGGGGGGTTATTTCTATGCAAAGAACTGATTTTACATTCCCATTACAAGAAATCTTCCCGTACTCCCTAGTTTTATTGCTTGATCAGCTCCATGAATGCTAAAATTCCCTGAAGGGGGCCGCGAGCCATCAAAGGTTGGTGACCACTGCTATAGATTCAGATATAGCACTCTGTTCACCATTGGGTTTTGCAACTCCTCTATCATTAATCGTTTGAGTGAGGTGACCTTTTCCTCAGACATATTTGAATAGAAAATGATTTTTTCAGTAAAATTTATATGATGGAATTATTACCGCACCAAGATGTCGCATAACCTGAACCCTAACATAGTACACAACCTGAGTTCAGGTTGTGCGCCATCTTGGTGCGCATACGTGAAGAGGTCCGAAAATTTTGATGAAATCAACTCTTTTTATTTTTTTAGTGAGCTGGAATGGTGGTGGGCAAGAAAGCAAGATAAAGAAGGATATATCGCTAGAAATCTACTTGGAATGTGGCCAAGGATAAAGCCTAGAGATGACCGAGATTGAGATGGTCATTGAAACGAAACTTTCAAATTTTCACTCCAAAAAATTTGCACCCTACTCAAGATTAAAACTACAAGAATAAGATCGCTAGGTGCCCTGTAAGCAATTTTGAAAATGACTTCAAATGTTTTGAGTTGAGTTTTTTATTCTGTGCTTTGAGGAATTGGTACCCTGGATCAAAATAAAACTGCAAGACACTCTTCAGTTATTTTCAACTATGCCTTTGCATTAGTGAATCTGTATGCGTATTACGCAAAGATGCTACAGCAAGAGTGAAAATAACTATTCTATTCAATTCAGGAGTCTTGCTGCACACTAACACAAATGTATTTCTGTAACGTTTCATCTGACCAAAATCAGACTTCTTCAAACAAGCAGTCTACAATACATTTGTGTCATTGTGCTGCAGCACTCTTGAATTGAATAGTATGGTCATGTTTATCCTTCTCCCTTGCTACAACATCCTTGCATTGTCGCATACGAATCAACCAGCGCAAAGGCATTGAAGAAGGATAGGAAGTTACTCTCGTGCAACCTCTACTGATCGTGTTCTTAAGCTTGACTTTTTTTGGAAATTTCTCACGCCAAATTAGTTAATCATTATGCTGGTACGATTACACCAAATGTTTTCTATTTTTCATTCCTTTTTGAAATAGAGCTTTTGAAATTTCACCACAAAGAATTTACACATTGTATCAGAATAAAACCAAGGTGCTTTATCAGCTATTTTTAAATGGGCTTTCTTGGACTGGCACATAAAATCGAAATCCCTTTTCAATTGTTTTTGAAGAGAGTATGAGTGATTGAGTGTTAAGATATTTTAAATATGTTTTGCTTTTAAATTTTGCTTTGATCCTTTTGCACCTCAGACCACTTTTTTTGAGCATGAATTGTTGACTTGGGATGGGATTTGGAATCTTACAATCAAAATACGCCCCAAATACCACTGGAATGTTAAACAGGGGTGCTAAAAGTCTCCAGTTGGTGGCCACGTGCTTTTAAAGATCTATAATATGATTCTTCGACTGTAAATTCTAATTATATCTTCCAATACACATTTATCTGTTACATAATTTAATATTGAGCGTATGTCAGACAAGTGGTCGTATTGTCATGCATTGTGTATTCTCGACCTTTCTTTTTCAAAATCTATTGTTACATCACTAACAATAGTATGACATAACAAACACCTGTTTGAATCTATTGTTTCAAATTTTGGAACAGTCGTCAGATTTGATACAGAATTTTTTATGAAGATGTATCCACACATTTTCTCTAAATTAGACTCGGGATAAGTAGACTCCGTTACTTGATAACTAATCTAAACAAAACTGGAATCTGCATTTCTTACTCAATTTATAGGTATGTCCTAAAGATGGCGGTTTGTTTTGTTGTTTAAATGAGGATCCCACGACTCTGAATTATTGAAGGATATTCTTGATTATATCATGGAAGATCTACGATCTCCATCTGGTTCAGCACTGTTTACCTTATCTATTACATCCTGGAAACAGGGGCGTTGCCAGAAATTTTTAAAGGGAGGTTCTGAAATTTCTATTTGCCAAGTTAGATCGAAACAGCTAGCAGGTCCGGCCGAACGCCAGAAATCGTGTGTTTTCATGAATTTTGAGGTTCTAAAAAGCATTTCAAGCTACGAAATATTGCTATGTGTGTTACAGAAAGATGCTTCTATTTTTTTACATTTCAAAAAGGGGAGGAGGGGGGGGGTGATCCTCAAAACTACCCCCTGGCATACGCCCCCTGCCTGGGAAAGATGGTGGACATGACTGAAATCATGGCTCCTACTAGAATTAATATTTGTAGATTTGGACCCTTTTCATACAATTCCATTGAGCAATAGGTACCGACACTCCTAATCCTACTGTAAAGATCACTGTTTTTCGCTCAAAATGTTTCTACTTATATCGTTACCTATAAACCGGAAAAGTGTTTTATTATGTCGATGGTGCTATATCATTTGAAGAATTAATAAATAATACTGGTATTATTGAAATATTGGATGTATTCGTCAATTCAACCATTTTACTTTAAAATTTTCCACTCTGTATGTAATCTTTATCTTGGCTAGAAAAGACTCTATTCAATATATGGTGCTATCGAACTTACATAGATATTTACGCTGTCATATGGCAGGTGCTTTCCAATGTCATGTTTTATATCAGTCATTACAAAATTTCTTATGAGCTCTACTAGGCTCCTACATGGTTTAATATTCGTGGATTTGGACGTTTTTCATTCAAATCTACTAACTAAGAAGTACTTCTAGTTTTTCTGCAAAGATCACCGTTTTCCGCTTAAACGTTTATAGAGCTGTATCACTCTTATGTAATGACACTGTCATATGGAAGATGCTTTTCAACTTCGTGTTTTATATCTCCAGCACATGTGTTTATAACGGTTCCATTACATTTGAACCCGCGTACATTTGAACCCACGACAATTGCACCTGCATACTATTGCACCTATGGAAAAAATTGTTTATGGATATTTGAACCCATACTATCCCTAACCCATGGGTTTTGCACCCGCATATAGATTGAACCCGCGAATATACACATGGGTTCAAATGTACGTGGGCTCAAATGTACGGTCACCGTTTATAACAATTGGAAATCAATATCCGCCATTACCAAATCAGCTCTACCGTAAGTTTTCAATAGTTATTGAGAATTTTTTATACCACATCACTATCAGACAAGCAGTCATTGATATCTGTCCATATATAAGATAATATTTATTATTTGAAAGGACCGTAATCTTCCCAGCTCGGCATCGCCTATCTAATTTGTTACACCTTGGGTGGAATTTGAACTCGGGATGTGTAATTTACGTTGCTCACACAGTTAAAAGTTGGCGCTCCAGAGGTGTGTGTACCAATATGGAGACAAGCTTATCGGTCAGAGACCGAATACTTATCGATTGAAAGTTAGGGTATCCTCCAAAACAGCGCTCTTTCCCGATAGTGACACTTTGTGTCCCATCACTAATTAATTAATAACTCGCTTATTATACGACATAATTCGCCCAAAATCAATAGGCTTCTGGTACGACATATGATGAATGCACATGCAAAATCTGGTGCAGATTTAGTCTCGCTTTCTTGAGATATCGCGTGCATCTAACAGGCATACAGACAGACAAATACCCATCAACATACTTACTGATTAAAATCTATAAGTAACAACTAGTTTTGTTCGCCTAATTTACATCAAGTTGTATGTAGGGAATGAAACCTATGGGCAGGGGTAATTCACTTGGCTAACACAGACAGTGCCCAAACTCGTAATAGAACTAATATAATGAAAATCAGAATAAAATTATGGCCTAAACTGGTACACACACTAACTCTTCAACTGCTTGAGGCTTGAGACTATTCGCTCTTTTATCAATTTATAATTATATTAATCAAAATGGCTTTGGTACAGACCATTTGTACAAAGCCTTACAGGTGTTTAAGTTTGCACAATTTTAGTTCATATATGTTCTCTGTAATTACGGTGCAAGTTTTGTAATTTCACTGATTATTTTTAAATATACTTTTCAATTAACATGTGCCATATTATTAATTTTTGTCATCATGATGTCATAATAATTCATTGTGTTGTTGTTTTATGATGTAACACTTATTCTATGTATTGTCATTTATTTTCAAATAAACTATTATTATTCAAACTACAGTATGTTATATATTATTAACTGATTCTCTTTGGCAGGACGTAATCGTATATGATTTTTTATCGCAATGGGTCTTTCAGTCCAGACACGTAAATTGACATACCATAATAAAAATTGGGCATTCACTGCGACCTTTGGTGGACTAAAAAACTAAGATTGCGTGATTCGAATTTTCTTCAGAACCGATTCGAATAATTTAGTATTCGATTCGAAATGCCAAGCTCTATTAACTTGCCTGTAATTAACAAATTTGCTTTTACGAGACGAATAAACATACATACATAAATACATACAAATTTCGTTTCAACCGCTGTATACTGATATCGCTATGCCAGCAGGACTTCGTAATGTAGAAATCCAAATTCCTATCCGAATTGAATAAGAAAAAAAAATGGTTACGACTCCGCTCCAGGTTATGAAAAAAATTAAAACGGAGTCCAGGTTTTAAAAGAAAATGACTCATACTCGAGTTCCGAACTCGGAAGATTCAAATTTTGAAATATTTGGCTTGTTCGACTACCTTGGGGGCTTTGTACCCCGTACATTTTTATTTAATTTTATAAAGAATCGAAGTTTGCTATTAAACATATCCAAACGTGTACAGAGCCAAGATTATGGCAAAAGCGTACCTGACTTATAGCCAGTGATGGGATTCAGCCGGTTCGCACTGGTTCTATAGAACTGTCTCACGGAATTTTATGAGAACAGCGAACCGGTTAGCATTACTGAAAAAAAAAACATGAATTTTTGGCTGAAAAATATGACTTTTGTGAAGGAACCGGCTGACGAAACATTTGAATCTCACCACTGCTTATAGCAATCCATGTTCAGTCGAGGGCTGAGTACTGTGATTTGAGCAATTTGGTATCAAAATATTTAAAACCATGTGGTACTGTAGCGAGTACATAAGGATAGTTCAAACGGCCAACGCTTATGTGTCGAGATTCCAAGTCACTCTTAGAGATTGGATTTTTATATTTATCCCGAGTAGAAGAGTCGATGAGACGGCTTAATCAAATGTCGAACTAATTAAAATTATCGCGGGATGAAATCTATATATCTGTCCTGTAAAGGAGAGGTGTCCATTTTGGACAACACCGAACCAAAACACACAAGAGCAACATCTTATGTACATTTACAATATAGTAATTGTGTCCTCGGACATACCCGTAACATATATGTTTTTTATAAAGCGACTTTGCGGTAAGACACAAACTTGCAGGTTTTTCGACCGCCTTTTCATAATAATCGTGAGCGATTCATCAACACCAGACGTTATTTGACTTACTTGCAATCCTTCGTCAAGAAGAATCAACCGAGATAGATGGATATACGCACTTGCACACCCTGGGTAACTCCTACAGCAAAGTACGTCTATGGTGAGATTCTTTAAGATATCAGTGACTGCCTTATCTGGCCTTGTTCATATGAAAAGGTTCGAGTAAGCGTCGTATTGAAAGAAATCTCACCTTTCCTCTCATTTTGGGATGGCTGCGCTCTTGTAGCCTACTCGGATACGATTCTATGCCATATAATTAATTGAGGCAATCAATTCTCGTGAGGTATCCGAATTATAATTAGCCTTATCGATCCAATCATTTGAAGTATGATTACTCATTAAGAATTGGTCTTTCGATTTAATATTCAAAGTATTGCTCCCCTTATTTCATAATCAGTTTTTATCTGTCAAATGTATTGTTATGCTGAACATGGGAGTCGAAATAAACTTACACTTATACCAGAACATTTTTGAGTTTTTTTTCACATACTCTTATCATACTTATAAAAACCGGACTAATTACCAATTTTTCTTTTAATACTTCAGTTCAGGAATATCGGCTTGGACGGTAATGTTTGAGTCCGCTCCCCTAACATGATATGTCCTTGAACGCCACCCAGGGGTCCGGAGCGGTTTTCTGGGAGCCATTATCAGAAGACCCTCCTAAGGTGCTATGTATGATGACTATATTAACTTGAAGTAAATTAACTGTGAATCGCTAGACTTGTTGTCCATGCATTTCAAAAAATAGCCCTCAACACATCACATCAATTGCTGCTTTTAAAAATTGGACTCTCTGCTTCCCCAGGGGTTCACGAAGCAGTTTTTGGGGGCCATTATCAAAAGACCTTCAGTGCCATTTACCATGAATACATTAATTTATTCAACAGGTAAATTAACTGTGATTTACTGGACTTGTTGTCGATGCGAGGTTGTCATGACTTTCAAAAAATGGTGCTCCAGAAGTATGCGCACCAAGATGTCGCACAACCTGAATCACGACTGGTACACACATGCTGTGTTCAGGTTGTGCGCCATCTTGGTGCGCATACTTCTGGAGGTCCCAAAAAATACCCCCTTATCAGTAGCTGCTTATGCAACGCCTTATTCAAAGAGAAAGCAATAAAAAACAACAACAATTCCTATGTACACATCTTATCCAATAATTCCAAGCAATTTCGCTACTCAATATATATTTATTATATACGTTGACAAGACGTAAAAACAGTAAATGGATGAATTCAATGAATAATATTAATGAGTAACGTTAATGGCAAGTAATAATATGTACATTGCTATTAAAAGGCATGAAGGTAAATAACAGAGAGTAATAACTAAAATAGCGATGCTTTACGGCCGGGGCAGCTGCTTCCGGGTGTTGGAGTCAAAGTTCACGGAGTTGGAGCCATAATTTATAATGATAAAGCGAACCATATAAATTTTTTTGTTGGTAGGTTGGAGCCAACTTCTGGGTAGTTGGGTCGAAATTTCGTGGTTTATACTCCTTAATGTTTTTTGACGGTTTTTCACTGTTTTTAAGCGTTTTAAGGACATTTTATTTCATTCTGGAAGGTTCTGTGCATGCAAAAAATGGTAGATTTGAGAGGTGCTAACTAAAAATTAAGATTTTGTGATATGAAATGAATTCCCCTATTCATTTTATTACGTTCGAATAAATTATAAAATTACAATGAAAGTAACTTCACTTTACAAGTCTTGCGTGTACAGAATAAACGTGTTAACTTCATAACATTGAATTTTTATAAATAAACACCAAGATATGGAAAAGTGGGCTCACTTCGATAGTGAGGAAAACAGTGGCCTAATGTCTGCCATGACCAAAGCAGAACATTACATGTGGAAATGTTTTCAACAAGTGCATTCTATAAATGACTGAAGACAAAATAGCAGTAACGCAAGCAAAAAGCAAATTTTAACTACAATAAACACAATGAGATTATCATCCAACACGGGAGACATGGAAAAACAGGAGCACTTTGATGGCATATATGGCACTGGCCTAATGCCGGTTCTGACCAAAGTAAAACATTACACTATACATAGAAATGTTTTTAACAAGTGCATTCTATAAATGGCTAATTACATAGAGGCAGCAAAAAGCAAGTTCTAATCTAATGCAACACACAATGAGTTGAGATTAAGCCAAAAATGTGTTTGAACGGTCCAGGACGACAAAGACCGAAATAATCAACTACCGGTATTTTAATAATCAACTACCGGTATTTGAATTCGTCTTGAAATAATATTTTTTAAATTAAGGCAAATACATAGAAGTCAACATGATAACACTAAATAATGATTTAGGTATTCGTCTTTTTTTTTAATTGCTAGAAATTCAATGAAGACATTCTGGAAGAAATCGATTGGACAAAATAAAACGATATATTATTTCTGAATGAAACTATCATGAACTGGCTTAAACAGAACAAGTAAAAAAGGCAGTTCTTTAAAATTGTGAAGATTTGATTGGACCTAAAATGGAGTCAGATTATCTCCAGAGAATCTTGAAATGACTTCAAGTTGCTAGAAATTAATGACAACCTTATTGACCATTCAGGAAGAAATCAACTTGAAAACAATTCTATTTTTTTTTAGATGAAACTATTTTGAACTTGAATATATCAAGTAAAAAGGGTTTGATTGGACTCAAAATGGAGTCAGATCCTCTCCAGATACTTTGAAATGACTTTACTGTTGAGAATATATAAGTGCTAAGGGAGCTAATGCAATATGTGTGACTGTGAATATTTGATTTGTGTTAAGTATAGGAGGAATGTGCAATGCTGCAGTAACATGTCGTTATTATAAAAAATGGTTAAATACTTTGAAAATATTGGAGTGTATATTATGGTTATTATTGATTTTGGAACAAATTAAGGAGCTCCAGAAGTATGTGCACAAAGATAGCGCATATTCTCAACATAGTATGTGTACCAGGTTAGAGTTCAGGTTGTGCACCATCTTGGTGCACATACTTCAGGAGCGCCCAAATTAATACCCCATTAGGCAAGTTTTTCAAAGTCGGAATAATCCATAAGTGGCAACTTAAAGGCTGTATAATGCTGAGAGTCTTTATACAGATAAAACAGTTAAAATACTTAAAGATTTTTGGAAGTGTATACTAGAGATGTGGAAATTATTCATTCAAAATCTTTTCATGAATTTGGACTAAATTTCCATTTGTTCAAATTTGCTGTTATAGTTTGCATGATGTTGTGGCAACAAGTCTGATGGCATAAAATGGTGTTATACTATGTAGCGCTTGCGGTACTCCCGAAGTATGTGAACCAAGATGGCAGACACAGAAACGTAGTATGTGTACCAAGATAGCGGACACAGGAACGTAGTATGTGTACCAGGCTATGGTTAGGCCATAATGTTATTCCAATTTTAGTTGTATTACAAGTTTGGAGACTAGCCAAGTGACTCCCTTAGTATTTGTACCTGAAGTTATGGCCTAACCCTAACCAGGTGCACATACTACTTTCCGGTGTCCGCCATCATGGTTCACATACTTCGGGAGTACAGACCTTGCAATGCGAAAATTTAGTATATTTACAATTTTGATGTTTCACAAACAGAGTGAGGAGGTGAGACTTGGATGAGCAAGGGACTGAATAAGATTTGTAATCTTGATCTCTTACTCTCCTAGTAAAAGCACCGTTGTTAATTATCGCTCACATACAAACACATAAATAAAGCACATACAGTTGGACCTCGGTAGTCGGACATAATTCGTCAGGATTAGCGTTTGACTAACGATTTGTTCTAGTACCGAAACAGTAGCAAAGATGCTTGGTTCGGGTGACGTTATTTCACACGGTGGCACCCTCAGGTGTTTGAGTACAGAATTCTCGTTCAAGACCGCAGCATTTTTTGGTCAATACAGAATTGTTCGAGTATCGAGTTGTTTGACTACCGAGTTACCAAGGTATCATTGCATTCACATAAAACACACACAGATATGAGTATATGTATATAAAAAAGTAACCACTATTAGTAATATTATTGAGTATTAAAACAAAGTGCAAATACATAAGTAAAATAAGAATGCAGAGTAATAGTAAAAGCCACAATTTCAAAATTGGTGAGTCTCGTTGCTCACTATACCACAAATATGTACCAGGAACTTCATTAGTTATCGAACAGTGGGGCGCCACACGAGGGGGCGAAGACAATTTTTAGAGGGGTCGTGAGGCTAATTAAAAATATTTGTTAAACTTCATCTTGCCTCCCTTATTTTGGATATTTACATTTCTTTATTGTTTAAAGAGATGTTGTGACAAATTTGTTCGATTTTAAAACTTTTTATTCATTTCATCCTTTACGTCTCATCTAGGTATTTTCAGCGTGTTTTTTGAATAAAACATACGTGACAATTTCTAAAATAGGGGCCCGGCTTAAAAGTTCGAGAACCCCTGCTCATGTTATTGAAGCTAGCGAAAGGCAAAACAAACTATTCTTCGACATTCAAGAGTCTTGCTACACACCAACACAAAAATAATTCATTTCCTTCGCAAAAATACCATTCTTTAAAATTGCGGGAATGCAATATAATCTTAGTAACGTGATTCATAAAATAAAGAAAGTAAATGTGAAAAGCATGATTGCAAATAATACAACAGTAAAAGAAATAAAAACATATTTACAAATAAGCTGCAACTTGGAAAAAGGAAAAAAATGAAAACGTAAACATAACTGGCTAAGTCTTCTATAATGGAATGGAAATGAAGTACAGAAAGGATATGTCAGTGAAGTAAGGCAATAAAATACAGAAAAACAATGTTAAATTCAAGTTTTCTCATGAAAAAGGCAATAAAATACGGAAAACGAAAAGGCAACGCCCTTAATATATGGACACGAAAGGTATTCTCGAAGTATGTGAACCAAGATGGCGGACAACGGAACGTAGTATGTGTACCAGGTTAGGGTTAGGCCATAATTTTATCTCAATTTTCCTTATTTTAGTTCTTATAAGAGTTCGGGGACTAGCCAAGTGACTCCCGCAGTATTTCTACCTGAAATTACGACCTAACCCTAACCTGGTAAACATACTACATTCCGGTGTCCGCCATCTTGGTTCACATACTTCAGAATAATCACAACGAAAGTGTAAATCTTTGACAAATGTTTGAGTATATCAGGCACAAATTCAACTCAACATTGGTGGTTTAGACATTAAGTTTTATCACGAAAAAGCAACCGACCGAAATTTCAATTAGGTTGCGACAAATGAAAATATTTACAGTTGATAGATAGGCGATAAAACGCGAATGATAAACAGCAGTGGGGAAGGCTTTGATTACAGAAATGCAATAGTTTTTTGCACAAATATCTTCAAAACAAATAGCTACCTCTTCAATTTGGCATTTCTTCAAGTAGAAGAAAAATTATAGCACCAAAAATGTATAGATAGCACCAAGATTCCTTCTAAGGTGCGCAAAGGAAATTTCCTTAGTGGGAACACTGGATAGCACTTTTAAACTAATTTCTGTAAGACTTAAAAAATTGAAACAAGGAAAATGTATTAGAACCTTCGGTATGAAGATCTTGGGAAGAACATACTAAAACAAATTATTACTAATTCTAAAATTTACCTCATTGGCGTATTTAATGATAATTGTTCCGTGGAGGTCAGTTCTTTAAGATAAGTTTGTGAAAATACACACAATATAATAGGTATAATCCATTTGTACTATGATATTAAGGTTTTTCAACCCGCATTTGGTTAAATATTTATTTGTAACTCATTCATGCTGTAGCGAATGAATGCAAATTTAAACAACATTGACTATATCAAACACATTTGAATTAACATCACTAATAAATGCAATAATTACCCGCAATTGGGCAGTTTCACAATTTTTGTAACATGTCATTTCTGCGCAGTCTCTCTGTAATTAAACAGGGTGCTCACAAGTTTGTTTCTGTAACGTTTCTTCTATAACAGTGGTTCCCAAAGTTGATTAATCGGAGGCCAAAATTAGAAGCGGAAAGATATTTGCGGGCCAGGAGAGGATAGCACCCACAAGCGTCCAACACCGGTCCGTATAAATAAGATATCGGTATAATTGAATTGTTACACGTGCTTAATACTGTGATAATGATGTGACAATTATACACACAAAAATATAAAAACATAAAGTGTTATTAAACTAGTTAAGAACACTTAAGTCCGGCAAGCCATATTAACTCGTTACAAGAGTTGCAGTTTGGGAACTACTACTGTTCTTCACCATCAGATGTTTCTTTTAATTAAATGGGTTAAACGGACTGAAGAAAGGGTTTGAAGCTGGAAATGAAGAACTCAGTTGATCCGTGGGTTCCTGTTTTGGAGACTTTAATTCTGAAACTGATCGTTGCTTATCTTGTGTTCTGGACAAGGCAAGACTGAAAAAAAAGGAAACCTTTGTAAATAATGATTCAAAACAGAAATGACCCCAACCTAATAATTCACTATTCCGCATACATCATAAAATACTATTTTTCGAATATGAAATATTAAATATATTCTAAACCTAAAAACCAATGTACATCCAATAAGTTTGTATTCAAAAATGAAAAAAAAGATGGATAGAAATTAGACAGGTCGCTTGTTTTTTCAATAAAATCATAAAAGTTAATAGTTTTAGCATGAATTTTTATATAGTAATGTTGATCGATTATAATTGCAAATGTGGGAAGAGCCACATAATAGCTTGGGGCCGAGCTTTGGCCCCGGGGCAGTTTTTTGCACACCCCTGGTCGAACCCTACCATCAATCAACAATAAAGTGAGCTCAATAGCTATTTCACTTGAAGTGCTATACCAGGGTGGTCCAAGGTTGTCGGCTTCGCGGGCCACAATAGTGCCAAGAATAAGTAAACAGTGCAATACAAAACAAACACTTTTATTGTGCAAACACATAGTTATCAGACATAGCCATCTCATGCTAATAAAATCTGCATTCGATTTTTAGTTTTCTATGATGCCTATATTGTTAGCATATATTCCTGACCAAAAAGATAGAAAACCAGATAACAATTTAGACAAGCCAGGCACATCATTCCACTTCGCTATTTGCCTCAGCTAGCCATACCTCTAGTCAATTCAGTGACATTATTGATGTAACAATATGTCAAACGATTTTTCTGATTAATTTTATTACAAAACAACACGAAATGCGATTTTTTGATTACTCTCCGAATGTGACGCGGACCACCGATAATAAAGCGGCGGGCCACATGTGGCACGCGGGCCTGGATTTGGACCGCAATGTGCTATACTATTCACCGGCAGCCAATGCACAACCTGTGTCGGCATAAGTTCATGACCAATGCTCTGTTCACTAAAATAAATGTATTGTGGCATCATCACAAAAGGAAGTATTTACTTACTCAGCAAATCCTTGGTCCCAGTCTTCTATATCTGGTGTTGACTGGAAAATAAAAAATATTTTCAAATAATGATTACAAATAAAATTAGGGAGCAGAGCAAAATTAGGATTACATTTCTAGATGTATGACATCGGAGAGGGAAGCAGATTCAGTGTACTACTACAAGCAACGCTTTCACTCAAAAAAGGCCCTTCAAACTAAATAAGGTAATGAACGAGATAGCAATCGGAGACCGCCGGCTTATCGATCTTTCGCAAAAAAAATTTAATTAATTAATAATTGCTGATTATATATAGCACAATTTATCGAAAATCAATAGGCTTCTGGTCCGAGATATGATGAATGCACATGCAAAATTTGGAGCAGATTCAACCTCGCCTTCGTGAGATAACGCGTAACATACAAAAGTGTCTAACAAAAAAACGAGAATATCGGTCAGAGACCAGAGACTTATGGATCGAAACTGTGGTTTCGATTCCTTCACTCGGACTCAATAGCGACACCACGTGTCCCATCACTAATTAATTAATAACTTGCTAATTATACGACATAATTCATCCAAAATCAATAGGCTTCTGGTCCGAGATATGATGAATGCACATGCAAAATTTGGGGGAGATTCAACATCGCCTTGGTGAGATATCGCGTGCATCTAACAGACAAACAGACAGACAAATACATATCAACATATTTACCGATCCAGATCGATAAGTAATCCCACAATACCTGATTTGGTGAAGGAGTCGTGACCGACTGATGAAGAATGGTACAGTTTGGTAAACTTCCAAACGATGTCGGCCTTGGAACTGATCTTCGAGTTGATTGTTTATCTGGTAAAAAGAAAGCATTGATCAAATAATTGGGGGATTAATAGTATATGGTGCAAGAGCACAGCCAGGGGGGTTGGGAGTCTGGACCGCATAGCCTTTTTTGATTTATTGATATTGTAACGAGAATATCGGTCAGAGACCGAAGACTTATCGATCAAAAGTAAGGGGATCCCACAAAACAGCACTCTTACTCCATAGTGACACCTTGTGTCCCATCACTAATTAATTAATAACTCACTAATTATACGACATAATTCGCCCAAAATCAATAGGCTTCTGGTCTGAGATAAGATGAATGCACATGCAAAATCTGGAGCAGATTCAATCTCGCTTTCGTGAGATATCGCGTGCATCCAACAGACAAACAAACAGACAGACAGACATACAAATACCTATCAACATACTTACCAATTAAAATCGATAAGTAATCAGTTTTATTTTGTTTTTATCAGTTATTTTATCTTTTTTATGCTGATTGTGGAGTCAAAATAAACTTATACTAAATCAGACATTGAAGCCTGAAGAAATCTTGGTCTTCTCCACAAACAATGTTTTATGCACCCGTCGCTGAGCTGAATGTGAGGCGCAATCTTCACAGATTGAACGGTACTCCCGTAGTGTGTGTACCAGATTAGGCCATAATTCGGTTCCGATTTTCCTTATTTTAGTTCTATTACGAGTTCGGGGACTGTTACGAGTTCGGAGACTGTCTCTGTTAGCCAAGTGAATATACCCCCTGCCCATAGATTTCAGTCTCTTCACACAACTTGATGTAAAGTAGGCACAATTTTTACCTCCAAATTGGTACACACACTTCTGGAGCGCCGATTAAACATTCAATTTGAAATTCCTGTCATACAAATAATGATCAGTGGCTTACCAGTTTGTCTTGTGTTTGCTGGTGGAGGACGTATTGGTGTGATTGGTTGGTTAGACTTTGGGGTCAAAGGTTGCGATGTCTTTGAATTAGGAGACGAAGAAAATATGAAGATATTATTTTCAGCATCCTCAATTCTGTTTGTTTCTGAAAAATTTTTTAAAAAGCTCAAATTTAACAAGTAAGAGCAATATGAAAGTCAAATGTCAGCAAACTTCAACACAAAGTTTAAAAAATTGTAGTGAATACCATACGAGGGTATGCATGTGAATTACAAAATTTCGGATTAAATATTGGAGGCCGTGAAACTAAGTTGAATCAAAAGATCCAGAGACTACTGAAGACCTAAAACAGTGGTTTCCAATCTGGGGGAAATTGCCCCCAATAAAGTTGGGACCCCCAGTAATTTGACAATTTTTAGAGAATACGCTCATTGTTTTACAAATCCCTGGACATTTGACTAGTCTGCGAAAAATTTGGACATTCAATGCTCGCATCTAGTCAATGGGCCTACCAGCCCCAGCCTAGTCAACTAGTCACCCGATTAGTAGGGACATAATAACAATACTTCACCGTACATATTGTAGGCTAAAATGCTGCGCTAGCAGAAGTTTAGTATCCTAAAGTCTGATTGGAAGGTGCAATATTAGCTGTTATTACCCCTGGCCACTGAGCAGTCAGAAAGGACCACAATGCTAGACACACAACTGATGTTACATTTCCCCCCACAAAATAAAACATTTTTTGCTAGTTCCATTGCTTGATAAGGTTATTTCACAGAGTGTTTTCACTTTTTTGTGCATGAATTGTGTGAACCTAAAGACAGTTGGAATATACCAATAAAAACAACACTATAAATACCACTGGAATAATAAATAGGATAATAAATAAATATAATAATAAATAAAAAAAAAATAATAATAAAAATAAATAAACAGTGCTAAAAGCCTCCAGAAAGCAGCGACGTACCATAAAAGGTTGAGAACCACTGCTGTATAGAAAACCTACCTCCTTGTTTCTCTCCTCTCTTTAGAATCTTCTTGCCCTCGGGTGTGTGGACTTCAGGTACTTCATGTTCTGAAGTATCGAAAGGATTGGAACCAGATGACAATCTGTGTGATAAAATGAGGATGTTAAAATACTAAAATATCAGAATTTATACAATGTTACCCCTAAAAAAACCCAGGTCATTTAGAACAGTGGTCGGCAACCTTTTCTCAGTGAAGGACCGGTAACATCTAACCAAAATATTGGCGGACCACCTTTATACAAATCACAGACGAACTGATCTAATGTAATAAATTTTATGCACTAGAAAAGTTATGTTGACAATACATTCAAAAACAAAGGTATAACGTGTTTCTTACGTTCGTCCTACTTCAATATTTCGCTTTTGTAGTTGTCAATTTTGAAAATCTGACCCCACATACTGGTAATAATGCTATTAGGGCATTGTACGTTTTTGTATCACCTTTCTGCGGACCTGCAATGGGCCGGGGCCCGATGGTTGCCGACCACTGATTTAGAACATATTCTAGAGCAGCATTTTTTAGGCCGCTCACCCTTTTCGAAAATAACTACGGTAGCTACAAATAACATATAATAATGCAGAAGTAGGTTTTGTTAAAAACAAGCAAAATTGTTAACAACAGCTCTCTGCAATCTCTAAACAATGAAGAAACGTAAATATACAAAATAAGGCAGACAAGATCAAATTTAACAAATATTTCACTTTTAATAGTTCATCCCCATCAGAAAATTGTCTGCGCTACCCTTCTTCGTTTGAGAACCACTGTTCTAGAGCAGGGGTGCACAACACGGGGCACGCGTGCCAAATTTGGCACGCCATACGCTCAAACGTGGCACACGAACGGTTTGTAAAAAAAAAATAATTTATGATATACATTAAAATATCACGTTTATATAAGTTTTTCGGGACATTAAATTGTTTCAATAAATAGATATTCGTTATTATGTATTATTATTAAAAATTTGTTTGATGTGTGTTTTAGGGGAGTTCATTTACAAAGGTTCTTTCCCCAAACATCGACTTCCTCGTTTACTTCGTGACATTGGCCAATCAGCAAGATGCAAAAAGAGCGTTTTTACGGGGGTCAGAAATCGGGGAAAGGTCCATACCAACGATTGTGCGTGGCACGTGACAAGATTATTTCGGAAAATTTGCCACGTGTCCTCATTTGAGTTGTGCACCCCTGTTCTAGAGAGAACATACAACCATCCACAGATAAAAGTTCAAGTGTTAAATAAGTTAACATTTTATAGAAAGTGATTAAGAAATTTTGGGCTTCTGTTTTTTATTGGTCACCCAGTAGATTTGCCTGATGATTGACGCATCATGCTAGGAAGAGGCTCACAGCTTCGAATCCTGTTGGGAGTACTGTATTTTCGGCTAATACGACGAGACCAAATTTTTACACTAAAAACGAAGGTTCTCATATATTATTGCAGAACAATTGCTTCACTTTTTTCTTGATTCGTCAGTTAAGTAGGCCTAGCTATGTGCACTATATTTTTAGTCTTTTCTACCGATTCTATTTTTCTCATTTTGTCCTCAGTTACGCGCCAATGCGGTCTCATTTTTGACATGTTCACAGTATTTTTGGCTTCGAAGCTAATAAGCCCAGAAAAAGAAAATACCGCCAAAGCCAGAAAATCAGGCCAAAAAATTGAATCCCGAAAATCGGCTTTAAACATGTTATGTTATCTTTGAGTACCTTACCTTTGATATCTCTTTTCCATGACATTTGGAATGATCAGTTGTGCTGTCCTGTAACAGAAAAAAGTTCCTTTTTGTAACACACTTTTTTTTTTAAGGTCGGTAGTGACTTCCCATGAAGTTACCATGGGGCACCAATCAATTGAAATAAAATGATTACTTATAAAGAAGATTAGGTCAGGAGGTTTACATTTTTGACTAGGCTACTCATTTAAATTTTGACATGTAATGAGCTATACGACAGAGGAAAGGTATTCTTTAATTCATAGTAAGTGGCCAATTTGATTGCAATAAAAAGAAAAATACTGGGAATTCAGGAATCAAGAAAGGCATGGATAAGCTTTAATCGAAAACAAAAATGTAAAATACCACACTATTTATATACCTCTACAATTCATAAATAAAATCCGGTATCCCCGAAATATGTGAGCCAAGATGGTGAACACCGGAACATAATATGTGTACCAGGTTAGGCCATAATTTTATTATAATTTTCCTTATTTTAGTTCTATTTTGAGTTCGGGGACTAGCCAAGTGACTCTCGTAGTATTTGTACCTGAAATTATGGCCTAACTCTAACCTGATATATACATACTACGTTCCGGTATCCACCATCTTGGTTCACATACTTCAGGAGTACCTAAAATCCAATCCAAGCTATTTAGAAATGAAATTCCACATTGCCACAAGAATCACAATATCTGAGAATTTGCCACAGAAATGTTCAGGTCAATCGAGTTTTGTTATGTTAAAGATTTTTGTAATGTCAAGTTATACAAACTTATTTGCGTTTCGAACTGTGGGTAAACGGTTCCAATTGAATTTGAAACTGGGTTCAAAAGTCATCAAATTATATCATAAAAGCAATAAAACAGCAGGAGGTGACTGATTTGATTTGAAAATTTTATTTATTTGTGACTGTGTTCTGAATAAGAACAGAAAATTTTCTGTAATTTTGTAGAAGAAATCTACACAATAATTCAGGGATACTAAAGACTCATCACTGAGCAAAGGTATATAACTCCGTTATAATGCCAAGAAGAATTAAAAATATAGGAATGTAATGTGGTGCATTCACAAATCAAATTGAGAATAGAAATTCAATTCATACTAATTGAAGTGTAGAACTAATCCCAGAGAATCTAATGCATCTATAAATATATCAAAAGTTATTCCGTCTATTCGTAACCAATCGACCGTTTTATGTTTCAAAATGCTTTAGTAAAGAAATGCTGATATAAGATCATAGTGTTGACACAGTTAGGGCATGGCCGCCTCAATATGTTGAAGACAAAGTCCTCTTATAATTTCAATATTGTTATGAAGTCAGTTCTCAGTATATCTTAAGTTAAATTCTTGAAAAAATATCTTTCAGTTTGGTTTTCTGCCTCTGTCTTATAACCAGAATGACATACAAAAACATCATTTTTGTACCCTAGGTAAGGATGATTTATATTTCAAGAAAATGTGATGTAGTTTTGGCTATTTCTGGGTCATACAATCTGACATACATTTATTGTATTATTTCAGGAATGTAAAAACTAATTTCATGGATATTCCTTTTTTAAAAGCCCAAACGACGTACAAAACATATTTCTGTAGCCTTAGTAAGGATGATTTCTATTTCAAAAAATGTGATGCAGTTTTGGTCATTCATTTCTGACTTATATAGGGCGTCCATAAAGTCTTAAAATTATTCAAAATTGCAAATGAGATTTATTGCTACCATATATTGTTTTGGTCCTCACAGATGTATTAAATGAAGTAAAAATACTTGAACAATTACTGATTATAAAACAACAAACCTGGTATTGAGAACTGACTTCATAACAAAATTGAAATTGTAAAGAAACCATATGGACACCCTGTACAATCTGAACATCTATTGTATTATTCCAGTATGGTAAAGACCAATTTTATGGACAACCTTTATTAAGAGGCAATTTCCTGTGTTTACCAAACCTACATTTAATCTAAATAACAATTCTAAATATAGACCGAGAAAGCTAGCGGAAATAATAGCAAATAATACACCCATGTATATGGGTAAGGATTGGCCACAGGATAAAATGTGATGACTAAATATGAAATTATGAAAAAGGGTGATTTCCGCAAATAATTTATCTTCAAAGATGGGTTTTACCTATAAAATATACTTTAATTCACGAGATTGAATCAGACATACAGGGTGTTTATAAAGTCTTTTACAATTTAGAAATTTAGTCAAAATTTGAACAAATCACATTCGATCCACTTTAAACTAATGTAGTTATTACGAATGGTGCCTCATGACCCCAGGAACCGCTCTGTGGCTCTGAAAACCCAGTTTGAGACACAACAATATCATAGAACAGTATCCCAAATTATCAGTTATCCAAATTATCTTAAATTTTATTTGTCCTGGGAAATGCCTGTCCAATATCAAATGAAATCTAATGTTCAGGACATTTCCAAATAAATAATACATTTATAGTAATACATTTACAATTTTTTAACATCTAAATCCAGCAACGGGGAAATTCCCACTATTTGAATAAGTATGAAAATAGAATAGGATTCGGTATTCTGGAATGATTTAACTATTCTAGAATAGTAAATTATTCTATATTGCCCATCCTTAGTCGTAAAACAGAACACTACGTAACAGAAAGTAAACAACATAGAAAGGTAAAATGAATTTATTGATTCCTATACACAGCATTTAAAAAAAGAAACAATAAAACATTTATAATAAACACAATAGGTAAAAATTATTCAATCAAAAATTAGTTATGCTCAACAGAATTCTGTTAATGTTCGGGGTGCACTTAACAAATCGCCGCGACACACGCAGTGATAGAAAAAAGATTACGTAGTTAGTCCCACAGTAACCTAATTTAAAAAAATTTAGTTATTTACTTACTTTTTTCCGTTTTTTTCTCCGTTACTTATGACTCTCAGATCCGAATCTGGTTCTTCGTTCTCCACGTTGCTATTGTCCGTATTATCATCGGCCGTAGATTCTTCAGCGCTCATTTCAAAAGCTATCTTGAATGACTGTGCGACTGTAACTGTGAGAGATTGGGCCTGAAAATAGATTTGTATATTACATTTAGACTTGTAGCTGGTTGTTGAGAATTTATAGCTGTTTTTGTTTACCCTGTATTTGTGCATGTTCAAAACCTATCTATAATAAATTGGGTAGTCTAAATCTCTAGGGCTCTGGCAATATAGAGGTATTAAAAGTTTTTCAAAAAGTCTATATGACTGCAAGGGCTGGGCATATAAAGACGAATAGTAAATTATTAGAATCATTCAGACGCAATTTCAAATCAACGCCCTCTATTTTTCCTGTCTGAGGTCGAGAATAATTATACAAATTTAGCTATATTTTTACAATTCAATTTGGACATATGACTCGTTTTTCCTTGTTAGTTATAGCTGAAACATGTTTCTCATTGTGTTTGAACGCTCAACAAACTAACTGGGTGATGAATTCTAGGTTTTCAGTAATTTATATGTTTAACTCACATGTGATTAAAATTATTATTATTACTGATGCGGCCGTGTGGCGCATCGTGCTAAGCTTTAGGAATACGCCTGCCACAGAACCCGTGATAACCCAGCGTGGGTTCCCAGGTTCGAAGGCCATGCATAAATAGTTATGTCACTTATGTGTGAGAAGATTGCTGGACTCCTTGCCGTCGCAGGGTGGTTCACGTAATTTCTGGTCGGTTACGGCTTCCTCCACCATCAAGTCCATGCTTCCGAAAACAAATAACTGGCTAACTAATCCCATATTTGACATGGACTGGTAACAGACAAGGGGCCGTGGTTCGACATACGATCAAGCCGTTTTACCAACTTTTCTGTCCCCCAGGATAAATATGTAAGTCCTATCTTATCCAATTAGATATTCGATTCAAGAAAATATTCGATCTTGAAAGCATAAGATATTCAAAAAGGCCCAACCTTAATGACATTACAGACCTCTTTAACTGTATTGCATAAATACGCATGACATTCCATCATCTCGTTTTCAGCATTTTGAGCAACGAAAGCAAAGATTTTTAGGTGTTGTTTCAGAGCTGCACAGAAAGATATTCTGAAAAATCATAGATGACGGAAATATATATTACATCCAAATATGAAATAGCAAATTGTTGTGTTGGTGAATTGCCCCTATATGTAGATTAAGAGATATGACTTCATTGTCAAGCACGTTGCGCTGCACACATTCTTGAAGAACATTCGAAAAGTGAAACTATCGCGCCAACTTGTCTCTCACTGATATATTAATAGATTTTTCAATAAATATTTATAATTTGCGTGCTTGCTTTATTGATGAATAATAAATAAACACTTCACAAATGTATTTTAAATTGATTCAACAGATTCAACAGAGAAAATTTTATAATATTTGTATTTGCGAAGTCAAAGAAGATAATCAAATTCAGTAATGCAGAATAGTTGAGATACAAAGTGTTCTGATTTTCGTTTTTCATTAGTTACCGTAAATAGGTGGTTTCCAACCGGGGGCCTGTGGCCAACCATGCCATGCCAGACACAAACTGATTTTACATTTCTTTCTACTAAAAAACTTCCTATTATCTCTACTTTCATTGCTTGATAAGATTGCGTAAAAAAGTATTGACGCTTACAGAGTGTTTTTCCTTGGTTGTTCATGGACTGTTTGAACATAATGGGATTTGGAATCTACCATCAAAGTACCACTGAAAGTAATATTATAAATACCACTGGAATGATAAAGCAAGGGGTTCATGAATGCTAACACTCCCCAAAATGAAGCCACAAGATAAAAAAGGTTGGTAACCAGCCGTAAATAAGATATAAATTATTCGGTGCTCCCGAAGTATGCGAACCAAGATGGTGGACATCGGAACGTAACATGGGAACAGGTTTGGGTTAGGCGATAATTATTTTCCAATTTTCCTTATCTTAGTCCTATTATCAGTTCGAAGTCTAGCCAAGAGCCTCCCGTAGTATTTATACCTAAAATTATGGCCTAACCCTAACCTAGTACACATATTACATTTCGATGTCCGCCATCTTGGTTCGCATACTTCGGGAGCCCCAATTATTCTATATACTAAAAAACATAGATTAAAGAATATTGCAAGAGTTGTGACTAGTCAACTCAGGGCGTGGATAAGCCGCCAACCACAATATTTTTGGTTCAGGGCTCAGTACCTTGCCTTGAAGAAATCCATGAAATCTTCAATTACCATATGGTATACGAGGTCATATTGAGCTATCGGTGCATAAGTGTTCACTTACAACTCATCTATCAGTACATTTTGAATTTCAGTTGTGAACTAATGAACTTGATTTGAGCGAACTCGCACAAGATATTGAATTATTGTAAACATATCATTATCTAGGCCTGATAGACTAATTAGCTATTGATTACCTGCTTATAGAAACATCATTGATCAATTGGAGTGAAGTTAAATCATAGATTTTGATTCCATTTGGTGAAACCAGTAATTGTACTGGTCTTTTCTTGCCTTTTGCCTAAAAAATTATTATCAGGAAGCTCATTGACTGCAGGTAAAATATGCAATTTACAGATTTTAACTCAAGCGACCCCTTGAACTTTTCTGACCACTTGGTGGATAGGACAATTTGCGCTATGCCTTTGATTTTCAGTTGCCTTAGGATTTGTAAGCAAAAAGTTTGTATACAAAATATTTGACTTAATATATGGCGAAAATCAATAATTATGTGCGAGAGGATTGCTGGGCTCGTCGCCGCCGTAGGGTGTCACGTTAACGCTGGCAGGTTATGGCTTCCTGAACCATAAAGTTCATGCATCTGGAACAAATACCTGACCAACTAATCCCAGACCTGACATGGACTGGTAACCGAGTGAGAGACCATGGTTCTCCATATGATTAAGTCATGTTATCGACTTTCCTATTCCTATTAATATGCAATTTGTTTTAAATTTGCCTCTTCCAATAATGTAACTCAATTGATGGCCAGGACTCGAATTTTGAAAAAAATAAGAGGCAAGAACAAATAACTTACAGTATTAATAATCCTTTGTACGGCAACAGAGGAAACATCCTCTCCTTTGGGTTCAGTAACGATCGTTAGACCAAGATATTTTGCGCTGAACATCATCCCATCCTTTATTGGTTCCTGATTGTCAAACCAATCTTCATCAAGTTCTAAAAAGTTCAAAGGACAAATGGGACTTAAACATGATATCAAGAAAGCTGACTTGACGTGGGGTCATATGGGGGTCAATAAAATTGTGTAATGCACTATTTTTTGAGCAGTGATGCTGTGATGACTATGAAATAGGACATAGTTTCGGGTCTAGTATAGTTTAGTACCACAGGTACTTCCAGTGGGCGAAGCATAACGAATTTTGCGTATGTTATTCCTAACCCTCACCTGACTATGCCATCCAAAAATTACGTCACTACGACGTCGCCATCAAGTCATAGGTCATGCCAAAGTATAATTACGATCGCCCGAAATGACATCTGCGCCGCCGATAACGAACTCGCTAAAGCCGGCGATCTCTCTCCTATCGTGATCGTTGTGACGAGAAAACGAGAGAGATAGCTTGCTCGATTTCGGGTGCTCGTCTGCGCGTATTGGACGACCATTCGCATACTTTGGTGGACATTATTACGCCACTGTGATGTCGAAATGACGTATTTTTTGGGTGACGTAGTCAGATGAGGGTTAGGATTGACATATGCAAAAATTGTTGAGCCAGGCCAACTAGAAGTGCATGTGGTACTAAACTATACCAGACCCATAGTTTCCCAGTCGAGAGACTATTTAATAGTTTTAAAAAAGAAAGTACCACTCTGTAATTGCAAGTAGCGTTACAAATATCTGAATATTGTTTACTTATTCCTGTATTCAGTACTGTAATATTGTAATACATATTTTCAGATTTTAGCACACATTCCAGCATTCTGACATTATAAACTATTTCATTTAAACTGCGAAAAAACCGAAAGCCAATTGAGAATGCTTGCCTGGAGCCTTGTTCAAAGTGACTAAACAAAATACTTCAGAGCTATGACACTGAAATAAATTTAGAAACAATTACTTTTATGCTTCAACTTCTTCGCTTTTGCCGGATTTTTCAGGGATTGTGACATTCGATTTAGAGCTGACATCGTCGAATCCATGCTGAAAGTTAGATATATTTTCCTGTTTTCTGCTGCTATTCCTCCAACTGTTTCCGTGTCTATTAAATTTCAATAAATGAACTGGCCTACAAAAGCAAACATCGATACAAAGTATCTCAATTTTGCTGACTAAGTTCAAAATAATGTCCACTTTTCTCCTAAACCTGTAAACAGTCCAACGCTGAACTGTGAACTTTCAACTGGCGGAGATCCATACGAAAACAAAAACAGCACACGCGCTTATAAGACGTCAATCAGTCGGTGTCTGCAACTGTCGATATCGCTGTTTCTTACCCCAAGAACGGCATTTTACTAAATAATCTTCGAATAAAAACACTTCACTTAAGTTTTTTAATATGTACTGGTATCCAATTTTACTAGAATTCAGATAGTTACTTTGCTTTATTACAAGCGAAAATGTGGCAACTCTAAATAGAAAAGCACGTATTTTCACGCTTGATATAATTTGGTGAAAACAAAAGCTTTGACGCATTTTGTCCATAAATATCGCATCGCGTGCTAGCATTTTTCCGGAATCTGTTTACTAACGCGTTGGTTCGTTACGCAACGTCAAAAAAGTAGCGCCTTGCCTTTTAAAAATGACGCAATTTATCCACGATTAGAGTGCGTAAAGATAAGACTGGTATTTACGGGATTTGTTGGAAATGGACTGACAACGCCCATGCACTTACTGCGTTCACAATGCGAAATCGTTTATATTTCCGATGTATTATAGCTTTTATACTTTTCATTCATCTCAAACTGATTTAAAATTTTCGTCCAGCTGCCAATTAGGCTATTAGAATTTACATTGGCTCTCATTTAAATGTTATAATATCCGCTCTAAGTACCCGCAACGCTGAATTTGGCCAAGCCCGATATTTGATAATTTATTGCCCAAGCCTATGTTTACTGTCTTTTTACAAATGAAAGGACCGTTTTCTGTGCAACGTATTATGTATACATATAAACGTAATATTGTTTTAGAATTAGTCCTTGTTATAAGTTTTTCTAAAGTTTATTAACTTCCCTCTTTTTTGTATGCGATATTTACCAAACACCTTCGCTGTAACCATGGTCAATATTTTTGGCAAATTCAGCTATTCTTACACTAAACCTGGAACAGCTGTGTCGCTGCTTGAAGACCAAACGATGTCTCTCGCTACTCCTGTCCAACAACCGGATAGTTAGATATTTTATTTTAGGAATTTCATAATAAAATTTAATTTAGCTTTGTATTTTTATTTCGTTTTTTTTTGCTGTGTTAGACCCATCTAGGTATCGTTGCTCGATAACCAGTACTGGTTTCCAGCGTCTCTATACACCCTGTGAATACTATCCCTATTTTTTTTCTACTCGTATATGTAAGTTGCGTATTTTCAGTATTGATGGAAAAATAAATTACTGATACACACATCTTAAAATTGGAGAATTCTGGAGATCGAGCGAAACTTTAGGAAGTTTATTAAATATGATGAATATCATACGTGTCCGCTCACCAGCACACAAACCTTGTTAAAGGGGCTTGGTCCAGATTTAACGTGGCTCAACGTTAAATATTATATTTGTTTTCTGTTCCAATTTTTGTGCATTTGTTTTTTTATGACGACAAATAAACGATTGACTGACTGTCTGACTGCATATCATGAAAGATTTTAACATGTATCACTGGGAGGAGGACAGCCGTTAAGACGACTTGCACTTTTGTCGAACCATGGCATCTCGCCCGGTTACCACTCTATGTCGGGTATTGGAATATTCGACCATTCAAACACGTGCTCAAGGCACCAAGGAAAAGGGGGAACCACAGAAATTTTCATAGACGACCTGCAATAGAATCAATCCCAAGAAATGCATTTATAATATAATGTAAAACTGATTGATCACATCTTACTTTACGTTGATTAGCTTATATTTCATCAGATACATTAAGCTAGGTATGAGGGAAGGTTCGAACCCACAGGGCAGACTGAGTTGTAGAGATGGACCAGCAGGCGGTCCGGTCGCGGGAGGAAGGGGATCCGAAAAACAAGCGGGAGCGGTAGCCAATGAGACCAATTAACGAAAAAAAACAGAGGGGCAGCAACAAGCCAATGTAGGCCATCAATGGTATGAGAGGAGGGTTCGAACCCCACAGGGTAGACTGGGTCAACAGGCAAGATAGGCGTTTGAGAGAGAAAAGAGAGCCGAAGAGCAAGAGAGAGCAGCATTCAACGAGAGCAATAACGGAAAAACTGAGTTGTGGGGATGGGCCAACAGACAAGATCGAACCCCACAGGGTAGACTGGGCCAACAGGCAGGATAGGCGTTCGAGAGAGAAAAGATAGCCGAAGAGCAAGAGAGAGCAGCAGCCAACGGGAGCAATAACGAAAAAACCACAGATGGGTAGCCCCAAGCAAATGTAGGCCAGCGGTGCCAGTCAGGGAAGATGGAGTGAGCAAAAATAAATTAGGGACAGGGCGCTCCATCCATTCCAAAAACATCCAGTGATCAGGATGGAGTAAAAACGAGTGAGGGTGGAAATATAAAATGTTATAAATAAATCAGTGAGGCTTGCTGGAGGCGCAATCTGGTATCAAAAATGCGAGTTAGAGAGAAAATTACAAAGCAGTGACGAAACCTGTCAGTGCAATCAAAAAATAAAGAAGATGAAGATACTGATTATTATTATTAAACTAAATTAAATCATTGATGAGGCACACCCAAGAGAATTAGGATGAAAAATGAAGAAAGGCTGGGAGTGATAATGGAAATCAGCGAGGCCCAAGGAAAATAAATTAGGGTGTCGAAATGTGACGAAGAAAAAAAAATAGTAAGATATCACAGCTGGCTGGGGTAGAGCGGTAAATATTGAAATGCAAAATAAAGTCGAGAAAAAATATATAGGCTATTCAACCAAGCAAGTTGTGAAATGAAGCAGCGAGAAATATTAAACAAATCAGAAGCAAGTTCATGGGAAGTAGGTAAAAATAGGGAAAACAGCGAGGCAAAAATAAGTCAAGAAAAATAAAAAGTAAAAGACAATCAAGCAAGTTATGAGGTGAAATCAGCAGCGAGATAGGAATGAGAATAGAAAAAAAATCATCGATGAAAAAATAAATGAATAAGAAGAATAGGATAGGATTTACATATTTATCTCGAGGGAGAGGAAAGCCGATAAGACGGCTTATCCATGGCGAACCACGGCCACTCGTCCATTTACCATTCCAAGTCGGGTATGGGATTAGTTATATTGTTCGTTTTCGGAAGCATGGACTTGGTGGTGGAGGAAGCCGTAACCGCCCAGCGGTTACGTGAACCCCCCAACGACGGCGAGGAGTCCAGCAATCCTCTCGCACATAACCATCCCTGCATGGGATTCGAACCAGCGAACCCACGCGGAGTAATTAGAGGTGCGGTGACGAGCGTATTCCTAACGCTTAGCACGTTGAGCCACACCGCCGCGATGGTGTATACCCTCTTAATATGGAATCCACTCCGTGGCTCATAAACCAACATAATAAAGTCAGACACACCAACGAAAGAAAAAACTCGTAGCTTTTTGGATTACTTAGGCATGTAGAGTTAGTTTAAGAAGGAGGGCCAAGGAAGGATTAAAATGAAATAAAATAGAAAATTCATTTATGGCTTCCTCCACCATCAATGCTTCCGAAAACAAATAACTAACCAATCCCATATCCGACACATCAGGCCGTGGTTCGCCATGTGGTCAAGCCGTCTTATCGGCTTCCCTCTCCCCGGGATAAATATGTAAATCCTATCCTATCCATTTAGGCTGGCTGAAGCAGAAAGCGTTTGTTAGTGGATGTGAAAATATAACCATTGAGGTTTTTTTATACCGACCAATCACATGGCGGACCCCGGGCCCTGGTGCTGTCGGTAGCCGATAGTACACCCAAAAGTTTATTGTTTCATTTGATGGATTCACTTTTTTGAAATACGCTTTATTTCGTCACACCTATTTGCCCCTGTAACGCTTGTCCGTGGATCATTACAGCAAACGCGGTGCTTAACTGGACAACTCAGGCCTTACCGGATTAATACCAATATGCGAACCTCGCTACATGTATTTGAGCATTGATCTCATGTTGGTCACGAAACGTAACGTATATATGTTTTTTAACGATAGGAAAGGATTTATTCATCTGGGGGGAGCGGAGAGCCAATAAGGCGGCTTGATCATGTGGCGAACCAAGGCCTCTCGTCCGGTTGCTAGTCAATGGATATGGGATTAGTTTATATATTTTTTGTTCGCGAAAAAATATATAACACACCTTTTGCGGCGCACTATAAACTCGGCTTTGACTCAAACACTCGGATGTGGTGGCTAGCGTTATCCGAACACTATTCGGATATCTTGATGTTGTTTGTTTTCGAGAATCGGCCCATGCGTTGAAGTGCGGCGCTTGCCATAATCCATAATTCAGGCTTTGTAGTCTTCGTGTTGCAACTCTTTGGATAAAGTTGAAAGAATTGACGAAACATACTTCAATAGCTTAGTATAATAAATAAATTAATTTCAATAGTATGGATGAGTGTCGGGTCTTGTCAATACAAAGCCATGTCGTTCGTGGATACGTTGGGAACCGATCAGCTGTTTTTCCTCTGCAGGTGAGTGTTTTACTTCTACTGTAACTGTGTAAGCTGGTGTGAAAGAATACGTTACTGTAGGCCTATTAGTCCCTTCACTAAATCGATATTACCGATGCTGTTTTAATGTACCTGTGAAGGCTGTAAATATATGCGGGTCTCATGTAGTTTTGTACCTAACGTACTTCTAGTACAGTAGTAAGCGTAGCATAACAATTTTTTTACGTGTAAATCCTAACCCCCACCCGACCACACCATTCAAAAATTACGTCACTGTGACATAATAGAGCCCTTCAAATTATGCGAACTGTCATCCAAGACGCGCAGACGAGAACCCGAAATCGAACAGCCATTTCTTTTCGTTGTCTCGTCACAACGATCCAGATAGGAGAGATTTATGCTACGCCTACTAGAAGTACGTTAGGTACAAAACTACACGAGACCCAATATATGCATGGTTAACCCTCTGACCACTGCTTCCAAGGGTGTTTATCCAAAATGCGATCACTTCCAGTTGCAACATAATGGCATGTTTTATATCAGGATCATTACGACGAGAAAGCAATAGGTCGTCTGCGCATTTTGGATGACCATCCGTATATTTCATCGAGTCCTTTCACATCACTGTAATTTTTTGGTTACAGAATCTAAACTAGACCAGACCTACAAAATCAATTATAGTTCATTCTTCGTCTAATATGCTTCTGCATTCGGGTCTCATGTAGTTTCATACCTAACATACTTCTGGTGGGCGTAGCATGACGAATTCGAACAGTTATTTCTCTCGTTTTCTCGTTGCAACGATTCCAAACATAAAAATATTTTTGGTTCCAGATTCTTGGATTTGAAGTTGATTTTATAAACTCAGTGCAATTCTCAAACCATACTGGGTACCCAGTTTGGAAAGGTCCTGTTCTCTCCTGCACAGAAATTGAAGAACTTTATGAAACTCTGAAGGCAAATGATGTTATTAAATATGACTATGTGCTTACAGGTAACTTTTTTGATATTTGGAGTATTTGTAGTTCGTTTCAGATGAGATGGCCTAGAGCAGGGGTTCCCAAGCTTTTCTCAGGACGACCCCAAAGACAACTTTCAAGTGTCCAGTGCGACCCCAGGTCATTATAGATTTTTTTCATGAAACTTTTTTTTTAAAGAAGCCTCTTCCACTGAACTTTTGAGTTTGGTCATGTGGTGGTATTAAGTGAAATAAGCTAAAACATTTAAACTTTCCATTTTACGGTAATTAAAAATTAAAAATAACGAAATTACAAAAAATAAAATTTTTTTTGAAAACTGAAAATTTTTTTTATTGAGAATGGTCACTGTTTATTTGGGCAAGTATGATGTCAGGCAACATACCAAAGAATTTTCCAAGTTAATGTTTGTTATGCGGCTCCGATAATCACTTTTAATGAACTTTTACCATACCTCAGCGACCCTACCAACCCCATGACCTGTTTGCGACCCTACCTTCTTATCACTCCGACCCAATTTGGGGTCGCGACCCCGGGTTTGGGAACCCTTGGCCTAGAGTTCAAAGCGTTATGTATTTATATTGCTTTGACAAAGATATGCTGTTGGAGTTTGAATGATGGGTTGCTATCACACTATTCCGATTATAATACCTTGAATGTTTTGCTGGTTCGAATCCTGGGGGATAATTATGTGTAAGATGAATGCATGTATACACCAGTGTAATCTATACAATAGGAACGATTACTAATTTTACTATTTCATCATCTGATTAAAACTGGTAATGGTTATGGTTGGCATGTTGATTGCATTATTTTCTTGACTTTCCTCCCCCCCTCCCCCCCAGGATAAATATGAAAACTCTATCCCAAAAGTGTTTATGGTTCACTTGCCATCTGCACATAGGCATTTCATCTTCTTCCATTTTTGTTATCGACCTTCTGAAAACCTATAGTACAATACATTCAAATAACTTTCCAACAGTGAAAACGATAAAGAAAAACTAGCAGCAATGACACCTGCTTATGAAGATATTCTGCCCAGTTACGCTTCAATGATTTTTTTCAGGTTATTGCTATGATAAAGATATGCTGCTGAAGTTAGTTCACATAATCAAGGAATTAAAAGAGAGAAATCCAAATCTTATTTATGGTGAGGACTTTCATCATTAATATTTCATACAAGTTTATATTATATTCTGATTAATGAACTATTTCTGGTACAAGCTAATTGCTTAGATTGTTCCACTATGGCAGTGGTTCTCCACCTTTTACTTTTTCCTTTTTTACTTCAACCCCCACTTTTGTGTGTTTCACTCTGGCTGCGTACTACCAAAAAAAAAATTTGTGGGGGGAACAATGGCACAAGAAACGCGATATGGTAGCATATTATGTGGCACTACATTCATTTTAAGACCTTTGTGCAAAGTTCCAAAGTATTTATTTTATGCAGTAACAACGTATTAATTGTGTGCAAAATCACGAGAGAATTCACCGTCAGAGCTGAATAGCTTTAATCATTGCGAAACGAATCGAATTATCGCAAAACTCGGACGAATACACTTTGGTTGGCGCTAGCTTTAAATCTTAAAATTATGCCGATTAGCCAACAGCCAAGACAGATATCTGGTAGCAATGGCACAGTTCTCCGATTCCATGATGTCCCCACATTTGGTTTAATAAATCAAAAACTCAATTTGTCTCTGAGAGCATGACATCAGATGCGTCAGATTGCGATGTATGATACAGAAAAATGTTTTCTTTACATCCCGACCCCTGTACTGAACTGGGTGGGTGTTGAAATGGGTTTTGAACCTAAGATCTTGATGTGACCTGCAACTGTCTTCACGTTTTATATGAAAAATCCTATTGTCAATGAAATTAGACTGGTAAACTATACGACTTCAAAGCCAGAAATTTTGAAAAGAAATTTCTATGTATTAATTTCAAACATGTTTTTGTTTCTAGTTTGTGATCCAGTAATGGGAGATACGTGGAATGGTAAAGGGAAAATGTACGTACCTGAAAACATAATGCCAGTGTTCAGAGACCAAGTCGTACCTATAGCAGACATCCTGACTCCCAATCAATTTGAGGCCGAGTTATTAACAGGTATGCATTGCTATATTCGCTGCTGTAATACAGCAACAAGGTGTTGCTGACTGTATGACTCATTTTGAGTCTTTTGCGACCCCCGTAATTGCTGTGAATCAATGTTCCCCGTTTTTTCATTTACTATTTATCTGAAATATCTAAAGGGCTCCAAATTTTTGTAAATTTCCCGATTGATGTTCAACTATTTTTATATGGGTTCAGAGAAGACCATCGCTGAGTGACCATTTTTTGATGAGTTATACCAAAACATGAAAATTTCAAAGTTTCTAAAAGTAATCGCCTTTAACATTTTTGTGGCTAAGTCAATTCCATGCATCTGGAGACTGATAACTGGCTAACTAATACCATACTCAACATGAACTGGTAACCGAATGAGAGGTCACGATTCAGAACAGGGGTCAGCAACATTTTGTCGCTCGCGGGCCACAATTAAGGTTGCAAGTCATTGGCGGGCCACAGTTAGAAAGTTGAAAAACCGAACAGATGGTACTTATTATAATAAAAATCATGCAGTGATACTTCTCTCGAATAGAATATAGATTTATTTCCTCATTGCATCTCATAAAATTCCATTTGAATATTTTCAGCGTCATTGAACCCTTTGCACTTAGCATCCAAATCAAGCAGTGATACATCTCTCGAATAGAATATAGATTTATTTCCTCATTGCATCTCATAAAGTTCCATTTGATTATTTTCAGCGCTATTGAACGAACCCTTTGCACTTAGCATCAAATTTCCTGCGTTTTGTTGCCATTTGATTAATTAAATTATATGCTCAATAAATGAGTAATTGTGAAATATATATTTGTTAAGTTATAATATAATTTAGTCTAAAGAATATATTCGTCAAAACGGATGTTTTGTTACTATAATTTAGTGAAGCATCGCGAGCCAGATTATAGTGCTGGTCGTAGGTTGCCGACCCCTGGTTTAAAATTTGATTAATCTGTCTTATTGGCTCTCTTCTCCCTGTGATAAAATATGTAAACCCTTGTTGGCTAGTTGTATCAAGTTATGTATATAGTAGATGGAAAAGATCTCAAGTGCGAATTTTGACGGCACTCCCAAAGTATGTGTACCAGGTTAGGGTTGAGCCAAAATTTTATTCCGGTTTCCCTTATTTTAGTTCGGTTACGAGTTCAGGGACTGTCTGTGTTAGCCAAGTGGATATACCCCCTGCCCATAGGTTTTAGTCCTTTTACACAATTGATGTAAAATAGGCGAACAAAATTAGTCACCTCAATATTGGTAGTTGGTACACACACTTCTGGAGTGCAAATTTACTTTATTCAATTGGCCACAGTGGCTCATTAAATTCACTCAGAAATAACGGGAATTGCAATTTTTCATATCTGCAGACTGATATTATAAAACTATTTTTTTCAGGCATGAAGATTAAAAACGAATCTGATGCACTGAAATGTATGCAAGTATTACATGAAAGAGGACCAAATACTGTTGTATTGAGCAGTACAGAGCTCGGTGAAAGCGGAAAACACATGATGTGTTATTGCAGTAGAAAAGGTAAAAAATTAGGTGAAGCAAGGGTGTGGAATAGGAGGCCTGCGGCACACTACGCCACTAAGTGTGGCCCTAATCAACACTCAGACTTTTCCCCATCAAGCATAAAATCCTAATTTGACGTGTTTGAGAAGGCTCTCACATGGAATAAAAAATACATGTATTTTTGCTCTTGTCGCTGTGTTAAAAAATCTTTCGCCGTTTTGCCCGGTGCATTTATTACTGTAAGGTTAAGCGATAGCCCATTCTCTTTTCTTGCCTTTCCCGCTTATGTGTGGTCCAGCTAGATGTCTGTTGTTTATATGGCCCACCGACAAAAAATGTTGCACACCCCTGAGGTGAAGCATATGAAGTGGGATTCACTAAAAGTTTTTTTTTTTTCACAAATGATGTCTTCCAATTTAATATAACCCTATAAATCGAATTCTTTTAGACTTTTAATAATCGTACTTGGCATGAATGTGCCTTCATGTTTATTATTTTTTTGTAATTTTTTTTTATTCATTGATGGGTGTTGATGTGGAACTTTACCAAATTAGGTAATGTATATTTATACACAAAGCCATTTTATAAAACCCGATGTCTTGAAATTTTTTAGACTTGTAGGATTTATGATTTACATATTTTATCCCATGGCAAACAACGACCCTCTCGTCCGATTACCAGTCCAATTTTGGGTATGGGAGGATAATCAGAGGTGTGAATGAGCGTATTCCTAACGCTTAGTTCGATAGGCTTGACATTTTCAATTTTTTTTCCACCAGGAGAGAAGTACCAACAACTGCGAGTTTCAATTCCAGTTATTGGAGAAGCATTTGTAGGCTCTGGAGATTTATTTGCCGCAACATTCCTAGCCTGGTCTCATCGACATCCTAAAGACATGAAAACCGTTTGTGAAAAAGTTCTTTCTACTATGCAACATGTATTAAAGAGAACGCAAACGGCAGCTGAAGGTTGGTGCTAGGCTGGAGTACATAGTGATTCACTAGACTGACTTGTGTTGGGTCGCAGGTTTGAAACAACCAGGGGGTTATTATGTATAAGAGCAATGGTTCTCAAACTTTATGAAAAATTATGCATAACGGTCCTCTTTCAATTCTTCTGATGACTCGCAGTCCACTAAAGAAATGAGAGCAAATAGCAAAACTGTATATCAAGCATTCATCTATTGAACGACATTAAAACAGTTCGATGAGATAGGTGCGCCTGCTTGGCTCCCACTAATTCTTCCACCTTGGGTTCTGTTTTGAATAACGCAACTCTTATATCGTGTCTCATGTCCATTCTGTTTCAACAATTCGTTTTAATAGCGAGTAACCTAGAAACGTAGCTCTTTTTAATAACCACGAGGAAATTTACAAGCAGATGCACAAGCCGTTCATGAACCATACAATGTGATTTACGGTACTTGCCATGTTCACCAACTTTTGTTACGTAATAATGTCTCCGGTAGAGCGAGTCGTGCTTTGGAGAAACACTTTAAAAGCATGACATCAAAATTTTAGCTCAAATCAAAGGGCTTCTGTACCGAGGTTAAAGTTGTCTCGCGGTCCCCTTGAAATCGCTTCGCGAACCCCTAAGCGACCTCAGACCCCAGTTTGAGAACCAATGCATAAGAGGATTGCTGAACTTCTCGCAGCCGTAGGGTGGTTTGCGTCGATTACAGCTTCCCTACCGTCCTTTTAATTCAGGGTTTCTACATTGCTTAATTATGACATTTTCTTTAAACAAGGCACTGCACAAGCAGCCACTGATATTTTATGTTATGTGAAGGGGTGAAGCCAGGGGAGGAATTTGAGGGTTTGAACCCCCCCCCCTTTTTTTGAAATGTGAAAAAAAGTTTTTCTGTACCACACTTAACAATTTTTCGTAGCTTGAAATGGCATCAAGACTCGCAGAAACGCACATTTTCTGGCCACCGGAGGGCCCACTCACTGAGATGATCCAACTTGGCAATTAGAAATTTTACCCATCCTATCCTTTGAAAATCCTGGCTACGACCCTGATTATGTGCAAGAAGTGTAATCTGTGATTCCAACACATGTCTGATGCTTGAAAGACAATGCTATCGCACTCGTGTAAAATTTCGAAAGTAAAACGTCCACTCTTGTAAATACATATAATGAATTAATAATGAAAGTGTTAGCCTATAATTGTAGTACAAAGGATCCGAAAAAACGGAACCCATAAAATATGTTGCAAATGGCCTGGATTCCGTCTTTTTTTTGGGATTACTCTATAGTTCAAAATGTGAATTCTTGCTTGAAAAATATGACACATAAGGCCCAGTCTAGATTGTTGGAAACAAACTTCACTTGTACAATTTCCTTCCAACAGAAGATCAATCAATTCCTGTGCGTCAGAAATTTGTCATACTTTATTTCCTGTTTTGCGCCTTTGCATTTTGCAACATGACTTAAGATCCATGGTAAAGATTATAGGGCAGTATACAGTCTCTGTCAGAATTAAATAAGACTTATCTTTCAGCAAAGTTACATACGGCCACGCAGGCGCGCAGCCAGGATTTTTAAAAGGGGGGGGGGGGGTTCAAAATTGGAAATTACTGATGCCGTCTGTAACAGTCACCGCGATCACGCGCTCGTTAATAGAGCCGCCTTTTCAGCTTCTGTCGTGTAAAATATTCAATTCATGACAACTACGAGATTCTAGAATGTCCTTATGTATATATTAATTTTATTGTCCCCAACGCAACTCGCGGTCTCGACTTTCTACGTCAAAATAAAAACATTACTGCGTGGACATAAAACAATGAGATAAGCTGCCTGTATACGCCACTTTATACGCCAAGTGTTACTGAAATCAGAAGGTTCCATTCCACACTCACTCTGAAGTAAAGTAGACTCAACTCTGAACAATACTGAAATTATAAGATTTAAACAGAAACAGAATTATGGTTGTACATTACTGATTCTCACACTTGCTCAGATTTAAAGACTCACCTTGGAGCAAAGTTCAGTCACTCACTCGTAAGCAAAGTGAACTTATCTCGGAACAATTTAAAGTGTGGCCACTGAAACTCTAAGATTTACTGGAACTATATAAAATTCTGGTGGCACATTACTATTTCTCATTGTTCAGTGACTCACTAAAAAGTTAAAGAGACTCATCTCTGAGCGAAGTTGGAAGTCTTTTTCCTAATATAGAACTAAGTTGTTCAAATGAGTCAAATATTCGACAGCCGTTGAAATTTGTGATATTTGGTTCAGCAATTAGGTTTTGAGATTTGTGTGACGTCATCTTGACGGCGCTCTTCTGTGTTTGAGCACGAAATTTCCATTCATATACCGCAGCATTTTTGATTAGAATTTATTGGTTGACAACCGAATTTTTCGAGTATTGCGTGGTTTGACTACCGAGGTATCACTCTATTAAAAAATTCGGTACTCCTGAAATATGCACACTAAGATGTCGCACAACCTGAAACCTAACCTTGTACTCAACATGAGTTCAAGTTGTGCGTCATCTTGGTGCGCATACTTCAGAAGGTCCAAAAATTCTCCTTGAATGTTAATAAATTGGAATTTTTCCGCTAATGGTGCGTGGTTTGTGATATAGAAGTATGGTCTGCTTTATTGTATCAAACACTCAAACACTATTTTTACAGCGTCCAATACGTCATGTCATTTGTGGCACAGAAGTTTGGGAACCTCTGCTTTTTAGTATCAAACACTTTACTTATTTTTTTACAGCGCTGGCAGGCCCAGGGAAAAAGCCAACGTTGCCACAACTAGAGCTGAAACTTATACAAAGTAAAAGAGACATCGAAGATCCAACCATTTGTATCAAAGCAGAAGAAATCAAGTCTTGATATGGTGGGTTTTAAAAAATATAGAACAGGGTGGTCCAAGATTCGAGACTAAAGGGGTGTAAAATATTTTGAGAAGACATGCGGGCCACGGTCGGGATAATCCAAAAGTGATCAAAATACTGCGAGTTTACTTTAATATTTTCATTCTCGACATCGGGATTAGGAAAAGGCTTTAAATCTTGGGATCCCAACCAAGTTGAAATAGTTGAAAAAAGAGTTCTTTCAATAAATACAAACATCTGGCAATGGTTTTGTGTAGGCTGAAATTGTTCTGCTGGTCGCACGGTATCTGTTTGCCGAGTGCCAGGGTTTGGACCACCCTGATTCTATTCCCTATTCTAAAGCAGTGGTTCTCAAACTTTTTAACCAGCGCTCCCTTTTTAGAATTTGTAAAGTCTCGCGCCTCACCTCAAAAATAAGAGATAGTAAGAAAGAAGTTTTTATTCCAAAAACACATTGAAAATACAGAGATGGAGTGTGAATATCCAAAATAAGGCGAGCAAGACCAAATCAAATGAATATTTTTATTTTTAATTAGTTTCACGCCTCCTCAAAAAATTGTGAGGCGTGCCCCACCGTTTGAAAAACACTGCCCTAAAATGAACCGTGTTAGAAATAAGTACTAGTAACCCCTAATTTTTATATTTCAGCTATCCATGGTGACTAAACAGAGTGAAAGTTACTAGCTTTTCTATGTCCAGAAACATAATTGAGTGTTTTACCAAATATTCATCATATATATATATGTTATTTGTTTGCTATGACCACTTCATTAATCTTACTATTAAACATAGAATTATATTTCAAAATTTTAATATATTTATCATCGGAAAATTCTGAATCAGTGTTCATCAACCTTTTTTGAAATGGTACACCCTTTGGTACTCTCGTAGTATGTGAACCAAGATGGCGGACATCGGTCGTAGTATGTGTACCAGGTTAGGGTTAGGCGATAATTTCATTATAATTTCCCTTATTATAGTTCTATTACGGGTTACGGGACTAGCCAAGCGACTCCAGTAGTATTCGCACCTTAAATTATGATCTAACCCTAACCTGATACACATACTATGTTGCGGTGTCCATCATCTTGGTTCACATATTACGGGAGTACCGACTTTTTAAACTTTACTCAAAATCTGATACACCTCGTCCATCCTATAATAATTTTCACATTAACGAAAGAATCACGGCGCTCCATAAGTGTGTGTACCAATATGGAGATAAATAATTTCGTTACCTATTTTACATCAAGTTGTGTAAAGGGACTAAAACCTATGTGTAGGGGGTATGTTCACTCGGTTAAAACAGACAGTCCCCGAACTCGTAATAGAACTGCAATACGGAAAATTGGAATTAAATTATGGCCTAACCCTAATCTGGTACACATACTATGTTGCAGTATCTACCATCTTGGTTCACATACTACGGGAGTATCGACCTTTTAAACTTTACTCAAAATCTGATACACCTCGTCCATCCTATGAACATTTTTACACTAACGAAAGAATCACGGCGCTCCATAAGTGTGTGTACTAATATGGAGATAAATAATTTCGTTACCTATTTTACATCAAGTTGTGTAAAGGGACTAAAACCTATGGGCAGGGGGTATATTCACTCGGTTAAAACAGACAGTCCCCGAACTCGTAATAGAACTAAAATACGGAAAATTGGAATAAAATTATGGCCTAACCCTAATCTGGTACACATACTACGGAAGTACCTACCACAGCTACCAGCACCCTGCACTACCCTCGTCTTAACCTGATAACTTAAAATATGCCGCCTTTTCGACGAACTCTCCCCCATATTAAAAATATCTTGAACAAATGCTATTACACTAACTATTTCTAGGCTTTAATGTATTATATCCGTAGTGTTGCAATATTGGGTTCCATTGACTGTGATCTTGCCTACAAGTTCAAGAACTCCATAGACGAAAGGGAAATGTGCCCTTTTGCCGTGATTCCACAGATCTAGACTTCAATTAAACTCTTTCCCCATGAACAGATTCCTTTCATGTGAGATGCTGTGAGTCTGTGACACTAACTATCTCATTACAACTTATATTTGAAATGCTGCAATATTTCGACCCATTCGACTGTGATTTTGCCTATAGTTCAAGTGCCTTCAATTTAAGAACGCAATAGACGTCTTACTGGGAGGAGCAGAGACTTAGGGTTCAATTAATATGCATTACCAATTTAAATATGCTACTATTTATGGTGAATTATGAAATGATTCTCTATTGTGATTTTATTGCAATAAATTGTGTAAAAACAGTTTGAGGGCATCTTGTCTCTTTGTAATCAGTCAGTAATTTATTTTTTCACGAAAATACGAATCATATATACACAAATTAAAGTATATACAGAGAGAGATTTTATTTCACAAATAATGATAACACTATAAAACATTTGAAGCAACGGAGACAAAAAATACTAATTCAATAATAATTAGTTGTCATTATCTGCGAGGGTCAGTATACAAGACCGGTCACCGAGGCTCCTGATCCATGCTGTATGTAAGAAATTAGTCAGATAAAGCATATATTGACGATGAAATATGGATAAAAATACAGATAAAATGTATATGTGCGAGTCGACAATTTAATATTCTAACGTTAATAATGCAAGTCGTGGTGTTCAATGCGTCACATGAAGTTTTTGAGTGCGGACAGGTCCAGAGAATCAGAATAAATGTCAAGATTAGTTTTTACAATTATTTATCATAGTTTCTGTGATAAAATATTCACTGGACATGTACGTCTCAAATACATGGAGAAGTAAAAATAATAACGAGGTAATCAGTATAAAAAATATCACTGGTTATCGATCGGCGGCACCCTTGGGGAAGTCTAACAGAACCGTGATAAATAGAATAAAGCCGAACTAAATATGTTATACAGGTACGTCAAGGCGACATTTGTTTTTATGTTACCACCTGAAGTTTAAATATACCCGACGTCGCTCGTGATTGGTGCTCAGTGGCGCGTGCAAAAACGATAGATGACGACATCCAGATCGGGTATAGGAATAGATATATAGATTAGTTTGAATACTACATAATATACACCAGGGGTGACCAATCTGCTTTTGATCGCGATCGACTAAAATCTTCAAAATAGCTCGCAATAGACTGATCGGTATTGAGGTCATACACAAAAACGAATGGATACTGATTACGCAGATAACTGCATACACACATACGAAAAATTTCACCACTGCCAATAAACTCGGCGTCTTGGTAATGAAATCGACTCAAAATTTGTATTTTATTGTTCGTTTTAAGTTGTTAATTTGATTATTTAATTGTACCCGGAGTAAATGTTTCATCATTTATTTAAGATTTATTAAAATCATACAATTCAGATAGTTGGCTTGCCTAATTTTTAGTCGTAAATGTTGAAAATTTCTCAAGAAACCTTGCCAAGTATTCCTGTTTTATCTGAATAGCAAAAAATAAATATTCTCAAACCATGAATGTTACATGACTGCTCAAACTTCAGTATCTGATTCAGAGGTTCTCAAACTTATTTAGTCCCAGAGCCAAATGTGAAGAGCCACACACAAAAAACGCAAGCTATATAGCAACAAACCTTAAGCGCGTTTTTAAAATACCAAGTCATCGTAACAACAATACACGTAACAACTAGGGCTGGGCAAAATGTTCGAATAACGAATCGAATAATGAAATATTTGAATGGCATTTACTTTTCAATTATCCGGTACCACGTGACCTGCGTTGCTTTGCTTAGACACCGAGACCGCACTCGCGCGTCTCCCACTCAATTGTGAATTGTGCGAGAATTCCCCAAGGCGCTAGCTATAAAAAAAAAGCGACAAATTTGATGGTCCTTGTCTTTGTGTTATGGTGTTATAGGCTTTTCTTTGCACTTAATTAACGTATCGTTTCAGTTTTATATTTTTTAAAAAACGTACCCACCGTTCCTGTAAATTTAGAAACGTCAAAACAGATTAGTTATTTAAAATAAATTTCCCATATTTCAAACTCCGCATGATTATATCATTAGTCATTTCATGCATGATTCGAACATAAAATTGATTAAAATTAAATGTTGAAATAACTTTTCGGCGTTTGATTGCGAAAAAGGCGATTGTAGATCGTCAGAAAACTCGAGTTATATAAATAGCATGGATTTAAAAATGACCAGTCAACGTTTTTCCAACAGCTGGTATGAGTTACTTGTACCTAAGTCCTGCACTGGACGCATTTCAGACAATATAATTTCAAAAGAATTACGAACGAGAATGAATGTGTGATATGGACATTTGTAAAGTATGGGAAGTAAATCAGCCATTTCATGTAGAGCTAACACATCTTTGAATTTAGTTACTAAAAGGGACGGCAACCCATGGTTGTCCGGTCTTAAATCGTGCATAAAAGCAATCACCATTAAAGCACGAAAAGCATTAAATCAACATAACCTCAAACGATATTTATTTCTCGAGGCCTAGAATTAATCAGAACAAGAGAGCTATGCTCAAATATATGGACACGTTGCGCCACCCAATGGCAATATTTTGATGACGTCATAGCGAAAAAAAAGTGATAGCCTTCTGGAGAAAATTTTTTATCTTTAACCACTGAAAATCAAAGTAATTGGTCCAGTATTCGAAGAGAAAAGCGCTTTTTTAGTGATAATGACGAAAGAAAATACTAATAACAAACAAAATTTTGAAACGATCGTTATGGCCAATAAACGTGTCCAATAAACGCCGCGATATAACGTACACAATATGTAATCTAATCACGAATCTTGTTTCTTTTTTATCTGGAAAATACGGCGGCGTCCCCTTTTTATGCCGTTTCTTTCTGTATCTTTAATATAGAAATCAAAACATTGCGACAGTCACAAGACGCCACAAAGCGTGATTAGCGTTGCATTGCGTTTGTTATGGTGTAAGTCAGGGATTCCCGATCTGGGGTCCGTGACGACTACACAGGGGTCCGCAGCGATATTAAGAGTCTGAAATAGATATATTTAACTTATATCCACTGTTACATAGACATTTTTTTTATAGTAGGCCGCGACCCACCGATACTTACTTTTTTATACGTACTTGTTGCAGGGGAGGCTTTCAGGTGATATTTCTTTTTCTGAAAAATAAACGAGTAACAGAATACCCGGCTTCGACGAAATATTTCGTTACATAGACATTCATAAACGAGATAAAGTCGTAAGTTAACGCAATCGCAAATGGTAATTGTCAGATGTTGATCCGTCACATTAATGACGTTTGTGTTGTTTTGTTCTAAATCCAAACGGAACATTATCCTTCCTTGGTATAGGATGGGGTTCCGTAAAAAATATTATCCACAAACAGGTGTCCGCGGCCCAAATATTATGGGGAATTCTGGTCTAAGTTGTAGCCAAATAAGAAATATCAGGTCATACTCCCGTTAAAATATTTTCTATTAGTTCTTCAGTGATCCCTCCCATCCCTGGCCAAGTAATATTTCGAATATGTGAAAAATTCACATGCAAGGCCGTTGTACTGGTAAAATTGTTAGCAAGAGTAGAACGTAAAAGCAATCGTGAATTTCGTTGTAACAATGCACACTAACTCGTTTAAGAATTGTTGCGCCTATTATTATCGAAAATGATAGCAAATGTTAAATTTTGAAGCATTTGGGCAGTAATAATTAAGGCATGACATAATCAAAATCATTAAGTGAAGTGCTGATTTGCAAATTTTGTAAATAGAATTAAGCATTAAGCATCAGTAAGGATTTTAGCTATAATAACCGTTGGTTGTTGTTTTGTTAAAAAAAAATTAAAACATGAAATAATTAGTTTTAATCTGCGTCTGACCGTCTATTAGGCACAAATGCCTTATGACCACGTAGAAAATGTCTCCATTGCCAATTTATTTAATTGCTAATTGAAATCAACATTGCTGGGTTTATCTATCTAATACTAAAATAACACGAACACCATAGAAAAGCATAAGAAACTCAATCTCCATTTTAATAAATATCTGCATCTCTGTTACCGTTCACTTTAAACAGACACGGCTAATTTACGAGCGTTGATAAGGAAGATCAAGTCCTTAGATAAAACTCAGAATAAAATTAGTTTTGAAATCAGCTCTTAATGTCTTCAACAGCTGTCGCTGATGTTAGTGCACGGGTATACTAGAAATATAAAACTTCGATATCCGGCGACTCATTATACTTGTAAAAAAGATAAAGGGCGGGAATATAGATTACCAACTTTTGGATATCGCCCTCGAAACGATTGCGGTGAAAAAAACAAGCAGCAATTATGATGGAATTAACCGGTAAAAACGCTTTATTGCCGACTTTTCAATGTTTTCTATTAATTTCCAAAGTGAGTATCGACCTCCGACGTTCTGGATTCCTGTTGTGTATAAAACATATTCATTATTCGACTATTCGGTATTCGTTAAAAATATTCAAATCGATCGATTTGAAAAAATATTCGATTTTGCCCACCCTATGACTAACAGCCATTTAATTTGGCTTTGAATTCTAATAAATTTGTCAAAGCAGGTCGGAATCGTGGATGATGCAAGATGCAGTAGCTCCTTGAGATGATCGCCAGATATACTCTCCAGAAATTGTAATAATCATGGAGTTATTTGACTTATACATAATATTCATAAATGCGACAAAAACTTGAAAATCCACGAAAGCGGGCCAATGATTACAGCCATGTATAAAATCTCTCCAAGTGAAAAGTCCGAGTGGCTGCGAAAACGCTTACTGTTGCGTCACTATTGCATTTTGTGGATTAGTCAACGTTACGAAAATAAACACGGGGGAATCCATTCGACTACTAGACTTCAGCATTTTAATTTCAAGTCAATGATTAGTTTTCAATGAAAAATTTTCTTTGAAAGTAATTAATTTTTAAAGCATTAACTGGAGCCGCAGGAAGGGTTTTTGAGAGCCACATGCGGCTCTTAAAGCCGCGTTTGATAATCACTGATCTTATTTCCGCATACTGCGGAAGTTTGTCAGTCTACCCACGCTGGAAGCGGGAAAACTCGCATTTGTGACGAAATATCCAATGCTTACCAATGCTTATTCAATGCTTCCAATGCACAAGTTACGTCACCGTTGATCAAGCATAACAAGAACAAACGAAAAATCCAATCTCGTATCATGCATGTTTAAAGCCCGCCTATTTCACAATAGAGAGAGGGAAAAAAGCAATTTTTTTCTCTGTTGAACTTCAAAGGTGAGTTCTAAAGCTTTACTGAATTGATACAACATCGAAGAAAACCGCGCCCTTAACCGCATTCGAGTTAGATATCTCATCCTTCACAGCGAGACGATAAGACACAACAGAGACAGACGGACTTGTAGGAACAAATTATCAAGTGCAAATGTTTTGAAACAATAATAAATATATATACGAGATTTAGTAGAGTTTATAAAGGCAGATATTCTATATAAATATTGATTACACACGGAATTCAAAGTGTTTCCATGCGCGGTTTTTATTCTCCGGGATATATATGAACGGCAATTTTGTATGCGTTTTTCTTGATCCGTTTCGTAATAGCTATGTTGGGTAGGCTACCATCTTTGAACTATTTAGCTTACTTCAAACAAGCCTCGAAGTCACCCCTCACTGTTCACAAATATCGCACTCGTTCGGCAAATCAGCTGTAACTGGCTCCATTATCAGTAATTTTGGTCATTTGAAATAACGGATTACCTTTTATGATATGTTCAATAATCATTATCGGTCTGTATCACCCAAAAAGTATGGTATGTCCCAAAATCCCAGATATAATGCATTGGCTGGTACAGTATGACGATAATTCTCATTGTTACATGAACCAGTGTTTGCCAATCGTACGCTATAATGCCGAAAGCGGCGCGAAATTTGAATCCATTTTCCACGTTCAGAACTTGACCTTAAGTTATCAAACTGTTGAAATTGAAGTTGAGTGAAAAGTACAATGTTATATCGGACATACATTTGTAGATCTTTCCAGAAATGAGTTGTTGATGTAAAATATGCGGTAAAATTGGGAGGTCATGAAATATAAAAATACCAAGATGATGTTTACTTTTAAATAATTTGTGAGAATTTTTGAATGCGGAAAAGGCTCTAAGAGTGTGCAATGTGGGCGCCTCTTTAAACATAAACTATCGGATTAGAATTTTATGCTTAATGGTGGAAAGTCTGAGTGTTGCCACACTAAATGGCTTGGCGGCAGTGTTCCCTCTAAGGTGTGCGCGTGTGCGCGCGCACACAGCTTTCAGAGGCTGCGCACACGCATAGATTTACTGCGCACAGACGTATTTCGATGTAATGTAACAATGTGCTCAGTTGGCAGGTTGCGAAAGTTTGTTGTTGGCCCACTTATTACCCCATTAGAACGCCAAAATTTCTTCATTGGTTTTTGCACAAATATTAGTCATTTCCAAAAAAGTGCGCACACACCAAAATTTCAGCGCACACATACTACAAAAAATTAGAGGGAACATTGCTTGGCGGGTCGGGTTGTGGTCCGTCTGTTGCACATCACTGATGGTTCGACCAATATATACCGAGTTCGTATATATTCTGCCAAATAACGCCATCACAATTTTGTTTTTATCGGTGTGCCCCGTGATTCGAGTCTTTGATCGATATCGTTTTGCTTATTTAAAAAAAAATCGTCACGTCGATTTCACTTTTTTGTAATACAAGGTGTCCATAAAGTCCCTTTACAATTTCAATTTTCTTATGAAGTTAGTTCCCAATATATCTTAACCAGGTTTGTAGTTTTTCAATCAGTGATTGTTTGAGTATTTTTACTTATTTAAGACATTGCTTTTTTACTCGACACAAATTGTATCTATAGGTTGTTTTGCTGGATTCTTTTCCTTTTGTCTTAATGTTAAAAATCGCCAGACGAGAAAATGGTTCTCCATAAGTCACTTTATCGGCTTCCCTTTCCCCGGGATAAATTTGAAAATCTTATCTTATTCAATAACAACAGCAATATAGCATCAAAATTCATTGGGATACTTCGCGTCCAAAAATGCCAAATTCGGCCTCTATCATACTCATTATATGATTAATGGACAACAATATATGTCCAGTGTTTCATTTCTTTCAAAGATAAATATAACTCACTTAGTTAATACGTCATAGCACGGGTGGCGTCAGATTATGAACAAAAAATACACAAAATCGTCTGGCGTCTGTGGGTTTTAATTTTCAGTATTAGAAGACGGTAGAGGTCATTGGAATCCCATTTTTGGACACTTCAGTGGACATAACGATCGTTTTAATATTATGTCTTGTTGTTCTTTGACACGTTTTCAAAAAGTCACTTTTTTCTTTGAGTACTGGACCAATTACTTTGAAATTTTCAGTGAGTAAAGATTATATATTTTGCTAGAGGGCTATCAATTTTATTTTCTGCTATGACGTCATCAAAATCATTGCCACTAGGTGGCGCTCGCTACGTGTTCATATATTTGAGCATAGCTCACTTGTTTATCTTTATTTTTTTTAAACTATTTTCATCAAATTTTTACTTTTTTATTTATTATCAAGATTAGTCGTAGTTAACTAAGATATCAGTATTTTTTAATAAAATTGACGACCGAATATCTGGAATATGACAACGCTAAAAATAATCATCATTTTAGCTATTGGCGTCTCACTCGCTTTTGCCCAAGCTGCTCAACGATGCCTAATTCCATCGCTCATTAATGGAGGGACTGGAACAAACTACGCTCAACCATCAGACTTTCTCTGGGTAACTTCATGTCCGCACTACACAATGACTCAGCCGAGCGTGCATGAATGCAGAATCAGTGACGGGGTTGCTTACTGGAACCCGCTCATCTGCCCATAAACTGCGGTAAGAGTATTAATATGATAATTATCCTTTATTTTACTTTTAGCAGGGGTGTTGGATAAAATACTTCAAGTCCCGAGCCGCGAGACAAGTCGAGACACGGGTCACCGAGTTTCAAGTCACGGGTCACCAAGTCTCGCTAAAAATTGATATTCCAATAAATACAAACATCTGCCAATGGTTTAGTTTTAGTGTATGCTGAAATTGTTCTGCGGGCCCGCAGGGAATCTGTTTGCGGGCAGTGTGCCCGGGTTTGGACCACCCTAATATATAATATGAGAACTAGAATGATTTCACCTTGTACATGACTCTGTATAAGCAGCCTATGCTAGTTCAGGAGCTACCTCATTTTGGAAGTACCTGAATATTTTCTTATACCCTATTTGTTATATTCCGAGTGAGATTAGGATAGGATTTACATATTTATCTCGGTGGAGAGGAAAGCCGATAGGACGGCTTAATCATATGGCGAACAACGGCCTTTCGTCCGGTTACCAGTCCATGTCTGGTGTGGGATTAGTTAGCCAGTCACTTATTTTTGGAAGCATGGACCTGTTATGGGCATGTCATGCTATATGTTAGAAATACTCTTGTCATCGCACCTCTGATTACCCTGCTAGGGTTTGCAGGTTCGAATACTATGGGGTATATTCAAGTGCGAAAGCGCCAAGAAGATTGCTGGATGCCTCATCGTGATGGGGTGGTCCACATAACCTTGAATTGCTAACGGCTTCCTCCACCACAAAGTCCATGCATCTAAAACAGATAATTGGCCGACTAATCCCTGAACCTGACATGAACTAGTAAACGGACTAGAAGCCGTTGTTCACCATATGATTAAACCATGTTGGCTAACCTCTCTTGCACGATATATATATGAAAATCTTATTCTAAAGCAGTGGTTCTCAAACTTTTTAACCAGCCCCCCCCCCCTTTTTAAATTTGTCAGGAGGTCTCGCGCACCTCAAAAATAACTAACTAACAATAAGCTACAAATAACAGAAAGTGGGACGAAAGTATGTTTTATTCAAAAAACATGTTGAAAATACAGGGATGGAGTGTGTAAACATCCAAAATAAAGGAATTTAAACATCCAAAATAAAGGAATTTAAACATCCAAAATAAAGGAATTTAAACATCCAAAATAAAGGAATTTAAACATCCAAAATAAAGGAATTTAAATACCCAAAATAAAAGAATGTAAATATCCAAAATAAGGCCGGCAAGATCAAATCAAATGAATATTTTTATTGTTTATTATTCTCACGCGTCCTCAAAAAATTGTGGGGCGTGATCCACGAACCACTGCCATAAAAAGGACTTTGTTAGCAGTGAGTACAAGTAATCCCTAATTTTTACATTTCAGGTTACCATGTTGACGACCCAGAGTGAAAACTACGAGCATTTCTATGTCCAGCAATAAAATTGAGTGTTTTTATCAAATATTGATGATATATATTGTTATTTATGACCACGTCATTCATCTTACTATTACACATAAGAAATATATTTCAAAATTTTAATATATTTATCATCGGAAAATTCTGAATCAGTGTTCATCAACCTTTTTTGAAATGGTACACCCTTTGGTACTCTCGTAGTATGTGAACCAAGATGGCGGATATCAGTCGTAGTATGTGTACCAGGTTAGGGTTATGTAATAATCTATTTATAATTTCCCTTAATATAGTTCTATTACGAGTTACGGGTATAGCCAAGTGACTCCACTAGTATTCGCACCTTAAATTATGATCTAACCCTAACCTGATACACATACTATGTTGCAGTGTCTACCATCTTGGTTCACATACTACGGGAGTACCGACCTTTTAAAATTTTACTCAAAATCTGATACACCTCGTCCATCCTATGATTCACACTAACAAAAGATTCACGGCGTTCCATAAGTGTGTGTACCAATATGGAGATAAATAATTTCGTTACCTATTTTACATCAAGTTGTGTAAAGGGACTAAAACCTACGGGCAGGGGGTATATTCACTCGGTTAAAACAGACAGTTCCCGATCTCGTAATAGAACTAATATACGGAAAATTGGTCTAAAATTATGACCTAATCCCAATCTGGTACACATACTACGGAAGTACCTACCACAGCTACCAGCACCCTACACTACCCTCGTCTTAACCTGATAACTTATTATATGCGGGCTGACTGCCCCATGATAAAAATATCTTGAACAAATGCTATTACACTAACTACAACATAACTAATATTTATAATGTTGCAATATTGGGTTCCATTGACTGTGATCTTGCCTACAAGTTCAAAAACTCGATAGACGAATGGGTCCGGTTGAACTTTTCCCCATAAAAAGATTACCCGGCTATCTCATAACTTTGGAATGTTGCAATATTTGGTTTTATTCGACTGTGATTTTACCTACTTGTTTGGGCGCCTTCAATTTAAGAACTCAATAGACAAAAGGGAAGTGTACTTTTTTTCTGTTTTACTGGAAAGAGAGGAGACTTGGAGTTCGATTAATATGCTTTACCAATTAAAATATTCTACTATTTATGGTGAATTATGAAATGATTCTCCTTTGTGATTTTAATGCAATAAATTGTGTAAAAAATCAGTTGAGGACATTTCGTCTTTTTGTAATCAGTAATTTATTTTTTCATCATGCTGAAAATACGAACTATACATACACGAATAAAAAAAAACGCATTTCATGATGAAAGAAGACGCTGAAAACCAATATTTGTTATCGAGCGACTGCACTTATTAGAAAGTCTAACAGAAACTCGATAAAATAAATAGAATAAAGTGCAACGAAATGTGTTATTTAATAAATAATATAAAAAAGCAATAGATATGTCAAAGCGACATTTGTTTTTATGTTACCACCTGAAGTTTAAATCTACCCTACGTCGCTCGTGATTGGTGCTCAGTGGCGCGTGGAAAAACACGAAAGACGACGAAATCCTGATCGGGTATAGGAATAGATATATAGTTTATTTTGAATACTACATAATATACACTGAATGAAATGGAGAGTTCCGGAGAGCGAGAAAAACTTTTATGAAAGTTTAGAACGTGAGAAACTTCTTGTGCTCAATTTCATGGCAAGGCTTGGGCCAAAAAGGAACAAACAAAAAATACGTGAATGTATTAAACTTTCGGGCGTTTGTAGATCGGACGAGAGGGACCTCGACAGATTGTAAGAGTGAGTCAATAGGCCGGATTCACCCCAGACCTAGCTAGTTCTCCAAGACATCAGAAACAAGCTCATTGACTGCCGTCTTTGCACGGTTCAAATCACGCGAATGGTCTCCGTTCCGGGTCTAGTATAGTTTAGTACCACAAGTACTTCCAGTGGGCGTATCAAAACGAATTTTGCATATGTTATTCCTAACCCCCACCCGACTATGCCATTCAAAAATTACGTCAATACGACGTCACAAGCACGTCATAGGGCTTGACAAAGTATACTTACGATCGCCCGAAATGGCATCTGCGCCGCCGATTACGAACTCGCTAACGCTGGCGATCTCTCTCCTATCGTGATCGTCATGACGGAAAAACGAGAGAAATAGCTTGCTGGATTTCGGGTGATCATCTGCGCGTTTTGGACAACCATCCGCATATTTTGGCGGGCCTTACTACGCCAATGTGACGTCGAAATGACGTAATTTTTCGGTGACGTAGTCAGGTGGGGGTTAGGATTGGCATATGCAGAAATTGTTGAGGCAGGCCAACTAGAAGTGAATGTGGTACTAATCTATACCAGACCCTCCGTTCCCACTTGGTTATCATAATAACTAGTCAGTAACGGCCTCATACCAGTACTGCAGTATTGGAAGCAAATAACTGGTAAGCTATTTCAGTGACACGTATAAGTTTATTTTGGTTCGTAATCGGTATAGCAATAAAAACAAATAAATAAAAACTGATCATGAAATCAGGAGAGCAAAAAAACCTTATGTGATTTAAAACGTACAGGATATAAGATGGAAGGTTTTGCGAGGAAGAAGTGGTACGTGTTCACTCACCTTAAATTATTGAAATATTTCACACACGCTCACACGCACCCACACACACTGTAGATAAGATAAGATTTTATTTCGATTCATTCGTTAAAATAAGATAAACATATATACACAAAAGATTATGGCGAAGAATCTGGAAAGTGAACAAAACCCAATAAAACGCGTTCACTTACCAAAGAAGAAAGAAAACAAGTCACAAACACAACCAAATAAAAAATGAATATTGACGGCGGTCATTACTCAGACGTTTCACTTTGTAATCAGGTTGCGTGAATTAATAGTGTGAATTAAATATCCGCTGTGCGTGTGATGCGGCATGTAAACAAACAATCCAAAATATCCTAGAATGAGGTGCGAATGCATGTTTCCGTTCCATGCTCAAACATATATTTAGTAGAATATACTAAAACGTTAACACACCAATGTAAAAATCGATTGTGAATTTTCAAATATCAGTTCGTGCAGTTTAACTTTTGTATATCCGGTCACATATTTAAGCAGAGCATAATTTCGTCCGAACTCATCTTCACAATATATTTAAAAATCTTCCATTTTGCACCCATGTTGCACATTTCCAGTCCATCATTCAAAAATCTGCTATTTCTGTTATTTGTTTATTGATGTCACTAAGTCTGAGATTCACTTCACGAGTGCATATCTTCGTCTCGAGGTAGCCACGTCCGCAATGCGACGGCGGTCGGTACCAAAGTGCAGAATACTGTAGTGTATTCTGTCTTTAGATCTATATAAACAAGCACCAAGTTTCCATTACAACACAAGTTTATTGTAAGATTCAAGCACTTCAACATTAAGACACCATAGCAGTAACAGACTAAACAGCAAGTCAACACTCAACACGTGCACAGATAGAAGAGAAGCATGATAGCCTCGGATATACAAGGTCAAATAAGTATGGGTCAATAGCGTCACCTAGCGGTATTACATCATATAATATACAACACACACACAACCCCAGAGGAAAATATTCAAGTAAAGAAGGATAACGCGATAAACTTATGGTAAATTACATAAGGAACCAAAATAATAAAAAAAGTAAAAAATTATTTGCCACACCATATTAATAATTTTGTAATGGTTACCACTGCCAAATTAATCAATTTTCTAATTGGGAGTAAACAGTAAAGATAGAGATCTATAGAAAATATATTGCCAAGCTGATTATAGTTGATTATTAAGTACTACTGTAACAGCACGATAGGACGACGCCCGCCATATTATCAAGTTGTCTGAACACGAAAAACCAACAATATTTATTGAACACGGAATGTACTGTATCGTTTTGCTGTTATGTTGTCCTTGTTGGTATTTTTCTTCTTGTTGTGAAAAACATCGCTTTTCTCATTCACTACTGGATCAATTGCTTTGAAAGTTTCAGTGGTTGACGATTGTATTTTTTGCTAGAATGCTAATACTTTTAATTATTTCTGAATATATGGAACCAATGGGATCTGATCAGTGGTGGGATTCAAATTTTTCGTCAGCCGGTTCCATCACAAAAGTCATATTTTTCGGGCGGTTCTGTTACATGTTTTTTTTAGTAATGCTAACCGGTTCGCTGATTTCATAAAATTACGTGAGACGGTTCTATAGAACCGGCTGTATCCTCCACTGGTTCTAATATTCTAACCAAAATTTCGCTACTTTTCTTTTTCACCGGAACACGGTTTTAAATCGCCAAGCGTGACTGCTTTTCCGATTTGACGCGATGCTACGCGACACTCGGAGATTAATTGATACTGGTAAATACGATACAAAAAGTACTTTGGATTGCATTTTCATACATTTGAGCATCGTTCTCTAGTCTGTTTCATCTCGTATGACAACGGAACGAACGGTAACAAGGTGAAAGAAAGACCGTTGCCACATTTCTTAATCATCGGTCATAATTTTCTCATAAATTACGTCTATGGCATGAAATATCATTGCAAATCACCTGCTATGCATCAGAAGTGTGACAGCGAGGAGAATACTCAAATTGATATATCTGATAATCTGACCCTGTGCCCGACATGGACTGGTAACCGGACGAAAGTCGTACTTTGCTTCTAAATAATCTGCGACAATGCCTTCCATTAATTCAGTCTACGGCATGATATATCACTAGACACAACATTATAGGCATTCGAAAGATCCCGGTGTATATTCAAATTGCGGCTAGTAAGCTGTCATTCGGAATTAATACGAAAAACCATACCCAATAATTCTATTTGGGTGATGCTATCTAGTGTGCTAGATACAAGGTGTCGTTGACTGGATGACTCTTTGAGTCTTTCGCGACCCCTTGTCTATTGCAATAAGCCGATATCCGTCTTTGAAATTTGTTATATGCCTTTTTTATTTTTTCCTATCGTATATTGGTTTTGCATTACGAAAATAAATCTGAATCTGTTAACGGTAAACAGGGTGAAAGACAGTTGCCACATTTCTCAATCACCGGTCATAATTTTTCCCATAATTCTGTCTGTTGCATGATATATATATATCAGAAACTACCTGATGTGCATCAGCAATATTCCAGCGAGAATTAATATAAATACTATCTCATACTCGACATGACTGGTAACCAAACGAGAGTCCGTGCTTTGCTTCTCAATAATATTTCCGTTAATTACGTCCATGGCATGATATTTTGCCCGACACTACCTGATTTGCATTAAAAATATTCCAGTGTATATTCCAACTGATGCATTCGGATGCCATATCAGTAAGCTCTTTGGGGGTTTATTACGAAAAACCTTAGCCAATATTAATTGTTTTACGCCATTTAGTTCGTTATTAACAGTAAGTAAAAGTAAAAAAAGACTGTTGCCATATGTCTCAATGATTTTCCATTAATTCTGTCTATAAGATGATCGGTTCTATAGAACCGTCTTACGGAATTTTATGAGTTACTGTCAATTTTCTGTTTGTAACAGAACCGGCTGAAAAATATGACTTTTGTAAAGAAACCGACTGACAAAAAATTTGAATCCCACAACTGCATATATATCATCACACAACACCTGCTGTGCAGTACAAGTATTACAGTGGGAATAATATTCAAATTGAAAAAATGTGATTGCTATGTCTGTCGCATTTGAAACAAATAACTGGCTAACTATTCTCATGCCTGAAATGGACTAGTAACGTGACGCGGGGCCGATCCTTGCCTTTCAATACTTTGCAATAATATTTTCCATTACGGCTATCGCATGTTATATCGCCAGACACTACCTGATATGCAACACCATTAACAGAATGAAAAACAAAACAGAACTCGAATCGAGAATTGTATTTGAAGGTAAATGAAAACACAAAATATCCAATGTGGATTATCAAGTTGCGTCACCGTTGAACAAGCCTAACATGAATAAACGGAAAAAATCGAATCGAACGGTGTTTTTGATTGCAATAATGAAACCTACATTTATTGAATAAGTCAGTCAGAGTTATTTTATTTGTCACTTTAAAAAACAAATATTCAACAACAAAAAATCTGTAATGAATAAATATTAAAATGACAGGTGCTGTGAAGAACGGAATGATCCGTCATCTATCCAGTTAGGGTTGGGAATGCATAATGCGC